CCTCCAGGAGCAGTACCGTATCATTTACCTGATCGGACTATCCTAAGGTGGTGTGGAAACGAGCTTTTCAAAAATTGTTTCCCCGTTCCTTTTACGATTTGTGCTTTATACTGCCGTGCTCAGGAAAAACGCCGTATGAATATTCGAGAGGTGCCAAATGTCCTCCGATAAAACGTTTAGTAAAGAAGAAAGTTATGAATATTTTTCCTTGACATTTTCAGGAACTTTAGGTGAAATTGCGAACAAAATTATCTGAAAATTTGGGAGAAAAATATTTAAACATTTTCCCAAAAATTCGTGATATCGCGGAGGAAATTTGGCAACGCCTTAGGGTTTATACGGCGTTCTTTCTTAGCACGGCAGTATAGCTTCTGGCTGACGTCAAAACCTGAGAAATTTTTATTGAACCATACGAAACTGAAATTTTCAGGTGAGAGCAACACGAAGCTGAAGAAGTGTGAATTTTCTTTTTTACACGGAGAGCAGAAATTAAATACCTGGTAACTGCCATCAGGTGCCTATGATGGGGCATCAGTTTCTAATAGACCAAATTTAGAGAAAATTTCCTGATGGAAATCCAATGAAAACGGGACACTTTACGCTGAGGAGCAGCATGCATATTTTAGCAATAACCTGATGACGCTCGCCAGGTTTTGAATTTCTACTCGTCATGTATGATAGGCCAAGGTGATGTCATAAGTATGTGTGGTATACTGCCGTGCAAAAGAAGAACGCCGTATGAACATCCGAGAGTTGCCAAATTTCCTTCGATATAAGGTTTATTTTTGAGGAAAGTTATGAACATTTTTCTTAGAGATTTTTTGGAGCTTCAGGTTTAATTGGGAAAAAAATTATTTGAAAAATTGGAAGAAAAATATTCATACTTCTACTAGGAAATTCGTGTTTTATCAAAGGAAACAAAAAATCCAAAAAATCGCGGAGTTGAGGAATTTCAGGGTGGGCCCAAGAAAGGCCCTTAACGATACCCCTCCTTTTTGAACGCAATACGGACATCCGTCGAGGTTGTATAGTTGTATCAAGGCGCCGTAGCAAACGCGTCCCATTGTTTATCGTTACAGACGAATATAAGTTGAGAGAGGCTAGTCATGATGCCTTCAATTTTATTCATACATATTTTTTTGGGCAAAATGAGAGACGACGTTTCTCCATTCGCGACGTTGCAGACTTCTCTAAAAATTTTATTTTTCTTTCGAGAAGCTGGTCAACATAAAACTTGAAATCTCCATGATTTTTCGTATTCGATAGCAGAAGATTTGGTTCAAAATTTAAAGTCGTAAATTTGGATTGTTTCTCATGGAAGAGATGAATTAAGAACGGAAATTTTGAAACACCGCAATGGAAATACGTGGTTTCGCACTTCAGTCGGTGCGATACGGACATCCATCAAGTTTAAAAAGTTGCATCAAGTCCCCGTCACCGCCGACCAACGCGTTTGTCGATCGAATCAACTACAGGTATTATGGTACACGTAGGAAGTTAAAACGCCTTCAAATTTTTGAACGCAATTCGGACATCCGTCGAGGTTGTATAGTTGTATCAAGGAGCCGTATAGCAAACGCGTCCCATTGTTTATCGTTACAGACGAATATAAGTTGAGAGAGGCCAGTCATGATGCCTTCAATTTTATTCATACATATTTTTTTGGGCAAAATGAGAGACGACGTTTCTCCATTCGCGACGTTGCAGACTTCTCTAGAAATTTTATTTTTCTTTCGAGAAGCTGGTCAACATAAAACTTGAATTCTCCATGATTTTTCGTATTCGATAGCAGAAGATTTGGTTCAAAATTTAAAGTCGTAAATTTGGATTGTTTCTCATGGAAGAGATGAATTAAGAACGGAAATTTTGAAACACCGCAATGGAGATACGTGGTTTCGCACTTCAGTCGGTGCGATACGGACATCCATCAAGTTTAAAAAGTTGCATCAAGTCCCCGTCACCGCCGACCAACGCGTTTGTCGATCGAATCAACTACAGGTGTATGGTACGCGTAGGAAGTCAAAACGCCTTCAAATTTTTGAACGCAATACGGACATCCGTCGAGGTTGTATAGTTGTATCAAGGCGCCGTAGCTGACGCTCACCCTCGCACACAACTCGTCACTTTAGGCTCTTTGAGGCGCGTTTTAAAATATTTTTTTCTCCATTTTTATTTTCCNCCCGTTATTTTCTCACCAAATGAAACCATTTACAGGGTTCCGCACTTTAAACTCCGTAAAGTCAAAAACAAGGCCACCCTACGCGAGTAACCTCTTCTGAAATAGCAATATCGACCATTTTGGCGCCAAAAACCGGTAGGTACTTTACATGGCGCACAAGGACTCGATCGACTTGAAACCTTTTCTGACGATATTAGGGCATGCTTTTTGAAACATTGAAACCAAAAATTATTGATTTTAGTGTTACTATCTTGATAGCGTGCGAGTACACCGTTGCCAAAATAGCCATTTTGACCGTTTTGGCGCCAAACAATGCATTTTTTCGGTGGGAGCCACCATGCGTGAAGGCTTGAAATTTTTTTTGGGAACAACTGGGTATATTACCTTCATTTTAAGGCAAAAACAAAAAATGTATGTGTTCTCATTTTTTAAAAACGCTAGAATCTGTAAAAAATTGGAAATTGACGATTTTTACGGATTTTTTTAGGGGTCAAAATGTGGTACGATCAATTTTATTGTTTTACTTAAGAATGTAATTGGTCTGATGTGTAATTGGTGAAATTTTGGTGCATTTTCATCGAAAAATGCGGGAGATATGAAATAATACGTGAAATTACCTCACAATTCCCCGAAAAATGGGTTTTTCGGGGCTGGAGGGGGGATTGTTAGGGTCAAGAGGTATAAATTGCCCAAAACCATGTATTTAGGACCTCCTGCAAGGGTTTAGACCATTATTGTCAAAATCCGTGAGGAGGGGCATTTTGGTGCCCTTACCCAGGGATACCCTTTCCCATGAAATTTCCGTTTTTTCCTACACCTACATTTAAAACAATTGCAAAATTTTCCGCCCTCTAAATTTGCCGCCAAGGGCCGCGGCCCATGAGGCCACCCCCTAAATCCGGCCCTCGCCATCACCAGTTAAAGCGCACGGCGAGGTTCCTACCTACTGACCCCAAGCAAATATTTTAACTCTCTGGAGATCAAATTGCATATTCAAAGAAATGAAGGAACTCTGTGAATCCGCTAATTCGTGGCCGGGAGTCTAATTAATTGACAGCGCTGCGGCAAGTCACTGACAGTTCGCTTCACCAATTAAATAGGTAATTGAGCAACTCTTTGAATGCCCAGGGGATCAAGCTGCATTTGCAAAAAAAAGTAGTAGTACTTAAGTGAATCCAGTAATCACTGATCAATTAGAAAACTGATTATTAACTACATATCAAGAAGAACAAACTAGAGAAAATAGAAGGGAAAAAATATCCCCCCCCCCCCCCTCTACCTATTAAAGTTTAAAAATAGATATGTTGAGAGACTTCATTTCAAGAATTTTCGTGCATTCATATTTTCATATTTAATGGCTTCAGGAAAGTAAATATAAGGCAAAGTAAGAGCCAAGAATATAAAATTTACATACTTTGGAGAATCAAATTGATGGATTATCTCAAAGATTGATTACATGTTTTCCTTGAAGATTGATTACCAGTTTTTTCTTGAAGACTGATTACATCTTTACTAAAACTGGTTGACTCGTTGGCACTCATGACTTAATAAAGAGAAACCTCTTAAGTGCTAAAGGGATGATACCTTCCTCCCGTTTAATGGAGCACACAAAAATAAGACAAACCAGGAGAGATTTTTCCAAAAGTTTTATAATTTTCTTAATAAGACAACAGATTCATTAGCTTACTAAATATTGAATTTTACAAAATTTATATGCAATCTACATTTTTTACATTTTGAAGAGTAACAGACGGATTAAATAAAAATAAAAACTAGCTGGTTAATGGTGAAAATAAGTAGGTAGACTAATGAGCAATGCAGGCAAGAGCCTGGCTACAGAAAGATCGTTCCTTCTCTTCCTATCTTCGAACTTCAACAATACAATGATGAAAGATAAAAAGGGAGAGGTCGAAAAACAATAATGTCTTTGTTTCACTTTTATGCAAGTTCATTCAGTGGCAATTTTTCAAGTTGGCAACACTGTTTTTCCTCCATTTAAATCCATTGAAAATGTCAATTTTAGGTGAGAAGACTCATACATTTAAATGGAGGGAAAACAGCGTTGCCAACTTTCAAGAATTGTAACATCATGGATGGGGAGGAAAATAATCGAGGGATGGATAAATGTCGGACCTTTTGATTAAAGAATAAGAATTTTTTTATGAAGACCAACAAGATCACTCGGGTGACATGAGTCTTACTTGCGCTTTTAAATTGAAAAGCTACGATTGATGAAGAAAAGAGAAGCTAAAGAAACAAACTGCACGGTTTAAAAATATTTAAAATTCAATCAAATTGATGCTGCTGCAGTACATAATGAGAGCTGCAGTATTGTCTCTTCTGAGAAATCATATCAAAATACATGCATTGAGTTTTTTAATTGATAAACTTATACAATGAATCCTAGTTGGAAATTGAGGATTAAAGTTGGCTGATATACCTGATCCTAATACAGTGGTTTATGTCGATTTTCTGAGTTTTCGAAAGGTAAAAAATTTTGAAATAGATAGAGATAGAGACACACACACACACTTAAAAAATAAAAAAACCAAACCCTTGGTTCCCTTGAGATTATTGGGGGTTTTAAAGATCTTCATTTAATTCTATTTGTTTCGAATTTCAATGAATTTGACCCTATCCATGTGATCTAGTTTGCGCTTGAAAGATCTGTAAACAGAAAGTAGGGACTTCAATTTTTTTCCGAACGAATCCATACCGCAGCATTCCTGAAGCAAATAAGTCATTGGTTTCCTCACATTACAGAGTAAGATTTTCAAGTCTCGCTCCTTGACACTTAAAAGTTCAAGAATAGAGGAATACTAACTATCGATGTAAAAAAAGATAACTGAGGGAAAAAACTAGCCATTCCAAAAAAAAGAGACACCTGTAAATACAACCGGTACTTGACACTGATGCAGGGAATGTGTGGTCACCACTAGAATTCGCGATTTCGTTCCCAGCATTGCCCAAACAAGTTTTGGCGGGGGAAAAATATGGATGAGTCTGCCGACTACTTAACTGTAAGAAAAACAGGAATGAGTGTTCTACTTGAGCGTTGTCTTTGCATACCAGACCCTAGGGGGTCAGAAAAGAGATGCAATTAAAATTAAAATCGCTGGTTAAAAATTTTTTTGATACTTTTATCCTTATGATTCACAGAGATTTTAGATGGGAAGAGAAAAAGTCTTCAGAATTTCACAGCCTATTCTGGGCATTATAATTATAAAATCTTGCAAGGATATTTCATCAGGGCAAATCCATTGGTATGTTAACAGTGAGTTTTCCAACTTCTAATTTCTCAAAGCTAGATCAAAACACCAATTTTTTCATTATGAAGAGGAAGAAAGAAAAAGTTACATTTCATTAAATAATCAAGGATACGTACAGAAGGTGGGAGTATTTTTCAATATTAAGAATGATACTTTCATTTGAGAAAAGTCTAGTAATTTTGGGGCACAGCGCAGACTCATGACATTTGACAGTCAAATTAGCGTATAGTTGATTAAGCCTATAAGATGACAATTGAATCAGGTAAGAGATCTTGTTTTAAGTCCGAATTCGAGTTGTTACAGTACTTCAATGATTATTTTTAGGAAAATCTGTTTGCAAAGAGGCAAAATCACACAATTGTAAACTTATTAGCATTCATTTTACTTGAAAAAAATAACAAAAAAACACCAACAAATGCTGATTCATTCAACACACTGATTCTCATTTATTTATTCCGTCACTTTCCCTTTTTACTAGTCTCTTTGCAGGAATAATCTTCTTCTTGACTGGATTTGAAATAGATCTGAGGAATGGTGAGTGACTCTTTGAGAACACTAACAAATAATGATTTCTTATGAATTTTGCTTAAAATTAATTTGGAAAGCCTGGAACCAAAATATGAAAGTTGACACATCTACAGTGAATTGTACTTGTGTTAGAATCCGTGACACAATTTTTGTTTTTTTACTTTTCAAGATCTATAGACAACATTTAAAGAGCCTAATGCACAATTTTTCAAGGACTTGGAATGGGAATCTTTTCTACAATATGAGCAACATACGGAGAGCATTATGCAAAAAGGAATTACTTTTTTGTATAAATTTTGAAACATTGTCCGCATAATTGATCTTTCTATCCAAAAAATAACTTTTAGAGATGAACCAGAAAAATTAATTTCTATTTGCCTGGCATAATCCATACCTAATGCATGCTTTGACTTCTCTCTCATTGGAAAAATTTGTTCACTGACATACATTAAAAAACTATGTTCTTGCGAAGAGGTAAACCAAAAACAATTACAGAGCGATGCGATTCAGTACATTTTCTATTTTTTAAGTTATAACCTAGCTAAACGGCAGTGCATTCAACTTTAAGAGGGAGAAATAAATACTTAAAAGTGAGAGAGAATTAAAAAACTTAGCGCCTATGCAAATGTTGAAACCAATTTTATGGACAAAAGTGGAAGTTTTACTGATACACAGGAGATGGAATTTTCCATGAGCTGATAGTAAAATATACGGAGAAAGTTGTCTACTAAGAAAAGCAAAACACTCAAAATAGATTCTCACTGGACTAATTTTAAATAATGCAAACTTTGGTTGTTTAGAATAATGATTCTTCTTCACGCTTGTTGTCACAGCGATAGATGTTCCAGAGGTGGACACGGGACAGAAAAAAAAAAAAATTCATGCATCTTCAATTACAGAATTAGGAAACAGGGAAAAGTTCTTTTAATCACAGCTAAACAACACTTCCGTTGCTCTTTCAAGGTCCCAGTTGTACGACGATAATGCTACTCGAGCTTGATCTGACTCGACACCCATGTCCTTAAGTCGGTGGATTTTGTTGTTAAATTCTTCGTTCACCCGAGGACCTAAAAAATTAAAAAAAGGAGAATTGATAACAAAGAAAGGAGAGGGAAGTGAGAAGAAAAATAAAAGTTTGAAACTCTTTCTAAATTAAGAATTATCATTGGAAATTAGATTACTGGTTCAGGGCCAAAAACTTTTAAGACAAATATTTTTTTAGAGGAAAAAATAAAAGCACCTCAAAATTTCTGGATAAAGTTTTGACTTGTTTCAACTTGTTCTTGTTGGTGTTAATATTCTACTTTTAAAGACTTCTAGGGGAGCTCAGCAATGACAACAAAGTGTCACGTTTTATTCATTAACTTACTACATAAAATAATATTTTGTCTTTGGAGCTAACAAATCCTCTGATTACTAAAGGCATAGTTAAAAAAAAATAACGAATGCATGAGAAGTTACCTACATCAACGTTCTATAAATGATGATTTGTCAAAAAAGAGTTAACATTTATTAATTCAGAAAAGATAAGTACACGAAAAATACACTATAAAGTTTAGAGACTGGAGGATTTGTTTCTAGAGATTCAGACTTGAAAATTTATTTAAAAAAGAAAAATGTTATTGTGATTTAAATGAGAGAATGGTAATACTGGATCATTGTAGGAAGACTGGTTAGAGATAGCATATACTAACCTCCAGCATAGACGTTGGTCCAGTGTGAGGCTGTGGACCGGAAAATTTCAGGATTTTCTTTATACTGCTTGGCAACAACAGCATCTTGTGGGTCATCTGGCTCTGCAGCTGACATTAAAGCTTGTAACGATAACAAAACAGTTCGTAGAGTCATAGCTGCTGCCCTGCTCTCAGAGAAAACGCACGGATCAGAAAAAAACCAGGAAGTAACTTGCGAGGTGAACATACATTTTGGTGACAGAATCATGGCAGTTTAGTGCCAGGTGAATTAATCTGGGATTACCATCTAATTAGGATCACTCGATTGGTTTATTAAAATAAGAGCCTTGAAAGAAGATATAGTCTGAAATATTCTTTTATTATTCAAACTTGCTAATTGTAGATGTCATTCTGTGATCCTCTTTGCAGTGACCTGGAACTGGGAAAGAAAAAAATTGAGCCAAAAGTCACGCTGGAAAATAGCACCAACAGAAAATTATATGCTAACCGATGGGCCAACTGTTGATTGATGCTTTTCGGGTTGATGTGCCATTTCTGAAGTCATTTCTTTCCCCAGTTTTATTATGATCACAGTAAATTCAGAAAATTTTTGAGTTTAACTCATTGTCAGTCAAGGTAAGAGCAATTGTCATACAATACTTGCGGGTTATGGAATTTAGCCTTTCTTACTAAAGTCCAAAAAAAGGAATGAAATAACTTCATTAAGATGTGAATAGCATACCATTGGTCTTTGAGGATGTCTAAACATATTGCTCCAGTGACTGACGAGATATTAGGATGCCAAATTTTTGTTATAAATCTTACCTGAAAAAGAAAAACATGAAAAGGTTGATTACTAGTAAAATAAGCTGACAGATGTTTCATTATTAAATCCAACAAGAAAAAACTTCAATAAAAAAGAAAAACTTTTTACCCAAAATGGATAATATCTGATAGTGCTGCACTGTGCACTTGTTATTAATTGCTGAATCTCTCTTTGGCCGCCTAATCCAATGTTGCCCAGTGTCATGTATTTTGAATAAAATATTTCTCAATTCCTTTAAGATCTTCATTTGATTCTCTGTGCCTCTATTTAGAGATTTTAGGCTCCTTTGCTATGTTATGGAGTCAGGTTTTAACAAAAGTGTTGAGTTTGACCTTTGGTTTGATTAGACGTTCCTTTTCAATTGTTTGTTCAGATTGAAAAATATCTCTTTGAAAGCACTTGACAATGGGCATCAACAGAATGAGCTGCTAGATGTAGGGCTGTCTTACCGATCTTCAGTAACCCTTCAGTAGAAATAAGGAAAGAAAAGAAGAGACAAAGGTCGCATCAACCGGAACGCTTCAATCATCAGTTGGATCATCGGTTACCACATCAGTTTAAGTTGACCGTTGACATTTTCCAATGCGACATTTGTTTCTTCTTTCCATTCCCCAGTTTAAAGCCATCATAATGATTCAATCAAGAGATAGTATAGCAAGAGGACCTTCACCAAAAGTCATTATCCAGCCAGTAAAAATGTTCTGGAGACTTTCTCAAACCTTTTAAAAATTTTAAAGAAAGTTGTGAAATAAGAATAGGACGGCAAGTCTGATATTTAAATGTTCCTTCTTTAGTACTTGAGACCTAAATCGGCAAAGTATTGCCATCTCAATCCACTCAATACAGAAAAGCTGTGCTGCTTTTTAATCGGTTTAGACATTTTTCCAGTTCACTCAAGTTTTTTTCCTCTTATTTTTGGACCAAAGTAAACAAAAACGATGACGACAGCTTTCTGGACAGGATAAGAATTTTATTGTTTCAAACTTCACAAATAAGTTCAAAAAAACTTTAATGGATATTTTTGCCAAAAATTAAACTTTTACTGTGCCGTCCATTAATCTCGCCCTTCATAATACAGATTTCCCTAGACCAGGTTTGTTTCTATTGGTCCTAAGAGCTCCATGAAGAGCCTAAAACTCAATAGCCAATTAGAAAGCACCACTGACATGGCCGTACTCTCCTTATTTACATACACTTCTAGGTATTTTGTACGAGGAATCGCATGTCTCATTTTTAACAATTGTGGCAGTATTGCATCATCAGTAACAGAGTTTCATAATTACATTATCCACATGGGATCATTCCTGACTCCCAGAGATTGGGGTGAAGTAAACAAAAGCTAAACTTCTATAATTTTCCTTCTTGACCAAATATTCTGAGAGAGAAGTTCAGAAACAATACTTCCACTCATCTAAATATCTAATTTGACATGCTAAAATTCTATCATGATCCAGAATATTTTTATTTGAATAGAGACAGAATAGAGATTAGATACAAATTTATTGGAAATAATTCAAAATTGTAATGAACAGAGAGACAATTTTGATCGTGAGAGAGTTATTGTAAACAATTAAACTCCTTCCAATACTTACTTTGGGTGGATTAAAGGGATACGTTTCAGGGATCTTGATCTCTAGTTTGAATGTGCCCCCTTCGTAAGGAGTGTCTGGAGGTCCAGAGATTTCTCCTCTCAGTTCTGTGAAGTTATCATTAACTAATTCAACTCTGATTGCACATTTAGCTACCTGCAATCAAAATGAAAACCGGGTAATTTATGCATTTTTCACAGCATTACTTAAAACAATAAGAACTTACTGTAATTGACTAGTGAGACTAAGTTACCGCAGAAGTGGGTAACTACGTGCCTCTTGAATTAGAAATTAAATAATAAAAATCAATACGGAGGTCCTGTGTTCCAATCCAAGCTACTCCGATTTGATGGTCTTAAAAAACTGTAGCCTGTGGCCGGTTGTTAACAGCAAACTGACGGGAGGTGAGGCTTTAATTGTGAGTGCTTGTATTTGGTGCTTTAGTTGTGAGTGATTACTCCCTAGGAAGTATTGGATTAAAAAAGAAAAATGTTCTTCATTTCTTTTTTTTTTTAAATTTAAGCTCTAGGAATTAAATAATTTTTCCCTTTCAGAATTTAGGAAAAGCTAATTCTTCATTTAAAGGTTTGTATCTCTATTTCACTCTCTTGTTTCTAGTAACGGGGGGATGGATCAATGTTCTTCAAGAAGTAAAAGGATGGCAAGCTGCTAAAAATAATTTGACCTGATACAAACTTACAACAAATTTAATTGAAAGTGATTAGAAGAGCCTGAATGGAAAAAGCTTTTCGGATGCATACCTACGTCAGAATTTCTTCAATTATCTCTTTCCTCTTTCTTCGAAGTACAAGGCAAAATCTTTCTAAAATAAACTGAGACCCCCTTTTAACCAATTAACTGGTGGTAAACTAAATATGATAAAACAGTTACAGGCAAAGAAAGACACGAAGAAAAGAGGAGAGAGATAACAGCACCACACTTGAATAATATCATTGTTTAGAGCAAAATAATTATCAGTCATGATGTCAGGAAATTGATTTTCCTCTCTATCAGAAAAGATAAAATAATATTTGTGACCAATGACCTTTTGCAAGTTCCACAGTAATGTGTTATTGAGGCTGATAACCCATTTTATGAGCGTGGATGGTGAAAATGACTACATCAATATTTACGCAGAAATGCAGCAACTTGAAAAATAAGATGAGCCTCTGGATTGTTGCAAACATTTGAAAATAAATAATCGAAGGAGGCAATAAATACCAGCTGACAGAGGTGAAATGGTTAGTCCAATTAAGAAATTTTAAACTCCAACGTGGGAAGTATTGCTTGGATTAGCAACTTAATTCAATTTTCTTTTAAATAATCTGTATGTATACAAAAAACAAAAGGAGCCATTTGCGCTAAGAAACGGTGGTGTTAATAGTGATTTTGACATATTAAAGGAGACATTTTTTCCTTAACTGAAAAATATCTTTTCTGCTGCAGGGCTCGGTAGACGAAACGAACTCTTTCCAGTGCTGCCATACATCAGAGACGCTTCAAACTAATGGGGGTAAGTAATATTTTTTTGCAATTCTTGAAGAAGATACGAGTACTTAAGGATGTCTGTTCTTTTTGCTTACGATTCACTATAAATTGAACTGAGGGTATGATTGTTTTTCCTTTCTTCTTTCAAGATCTCAAAATTCATGGCTTCGGCTGGAGTCAATTAAATACAACTCATGATGGTGGCATATTTTTGTGGCTAATTTATCTTAAGGTTTTGGTTCTTGACCAAAATTAATTTCCTTTCACCTCAAAGTAGCAATAACATATCTCGGTGCTTTTAAAGTTCACACCACACGATTTATAATCGGCACTCCTCTCACTTTTTTCCTACGTCTCTTTGAGAAATTTATGGGCTTCACATATTATACAGCACTCACTAAGTTTTCTGACGGTCAGAAACAGTGATCCCAAGCGTACAGATTTATCCGTGCCGTGCGGATATTCCCTATATCGACACGGACCGCGTACGGACCAAAACCTTATGGGAAAACGCTTCCCTATCGTAAAATATCCGTAGACGTGACGTCACAGAATGACGCTCGGCCAATACCAGCACGGAGAACGGTAGAGCGTACGGATCTCGCACACGGGGCACCCAGGAACACTGGTCAGAAACATAATGTAGGTTAAAGATCTTACGAGCTCACAAATTTACTTATGCCTTCTGTGATTCAGCAGTCAACACTGACAATTCTAAACTTCCTGAGTCCACACCACACCTCATATGAACTGACAATTTTACACAACCAGGCAAGATTAAATTTTAAAGTGCATGTTCAATTTAACACAATTAAATACTTATGACATACTTAAAGTCTCCTCGTAATGATGTGAAAGCATTGAGCTTCCTGCGACAGACAGCAATTATGACAGATGAGGTGCACTAAAGGGAGGGTCTTGGATAAGACTATATGGTGCGACAAAAATTTGATAAAATGAAGGAGAACCAGTTTTGCTCCAGATTTTGAAACGTAGGACAAGGACAGTTTGAATTTGACTGTCAGTGCCAATATTTTTTCAGACTTGGGGAATTATAAGGAGAATTACATTGAGTGCTCAGAAACAAACTGAGAAACATACATTTTGAAGAGTCATAAGTGATCGGAAAAGGTGATAAAAATGGATATTGCAGGAACAAATGAAGCTCGGAGTATGAAGTGGACAAGGGACCGAGACCCTATTGTCTCCTTCATGACCTCGGTTCAGTGAGCGCAGTAAAAATATTGCAATGGGCAAAAGAGGCCTGCCATAAATTAATGCATCTTCATTTTGGTAAATTTTGAGCCACCCCTGTGAAAACGTTAAAACAATCTGAAGGTAAACATGTATCTGGCCTTACAATGGAATCCTAACCTATACCTACAACAACAGAGGACGATGTCTTGGATACCTGGCCCAAAAACTGGTAAATTCAATTGATGAATTTCGCAGAAGTAATGGGAAAGCATACCTCTTCACTTCTTATGACCTCTTTGAATTCTCTTTTGATTCTTGAAGCTGCAATATTCGCAGACATGGTTGATCACTGGTACTGGTGCACCAACTTCACACAGCACTACCACTTCAGTAGTAATTTAAAATCATACTAAAATTTGATCACATTGAGTTGAACTTCAGAATTCTGAATACGACATTGATTTTGTTTAAATTCTAGAGAGAAATAAAAAGAAATGACCAGAATAATTCACGATAACCAGCTGCGTGACTTGTGATGTGCGTGACAAAATAAATACAAAACTGCAGTGATGCAAGGGGAGAAACGTGAAATTTCACTGCGACCGCATCGCTGCAACCTAACGCTCAAACAAACCTGAACGGATGACGTCACAATAGACCTCGCGGTCGCGGTCCCCGGGAGTATACGCATACCTAAATTAATTCAGGAAATAAAAAATCTCATTTTTCAGGGGAAGGGGGAGGAAAGTGGAGATGCAGCATCACCTCTTCGAAATCACGAACCGGAAAGTTATAATTTAATTTTTGCGACTCTAAGTCGACGACTCTTACAGAAAATTTTGTCCGGGTTCGGGAAGGGGGGGGGGGTAGGGAGGGCAAAATTGCTGAAAGGAAATACGGGGCATAATAGTCAAATTAAGCTCTATTTTTAACTCTTGTTTTTTGGGTTCTTTTTTGGCACTCTCTTGAGAAAATAACCAAGATTACTGAAAATCAATAAAATTGCATTATAAATTTATAAAAAATGATAATAAGTAAGTTTACCGAAAAAGAAATAGTTGCATAAAAAATGAAGAAATATATAAATACAGGCATAAATCCCTTTAAATTCAGGGACAGCGAGAAATTAAGGCGGTTCATGAGCGACAAATCTGTTCCCGCGGGTGATGGTGTTGCAGGTGGGGGGGGGGGGGGGGGGGAGATCCCATGGGTGTCCATTCTTGCTTGCCGCGTATTCAGGGCCTAGGGTGGATTTTATTAGGAAAAGAATGAATTAAGACGTGCATCCATAATGTGTCTTTAAATGTTGGTTGCGCCAGGAATAGGATTTATGTACTCATGTAGGTACCTGAGCTCATGACATTCCATTTAGCTCCAAGTGTTTCGTGGCGAAAACAAACGAACACATCATTCATTTCGCACTCACCCGAAAAAGGTCACTCAAGGACATGTGATTATTAATAATTCATCTTTTTCCCTAATAAGACGAAACCACACCGGAGAACCAGCAAAATATTTTTCCGAGATTATGCAAATGAGCCTACTTAACAAAACGAAAAGAGGAAGGGAAGCTAAGGAAAAGAAGAAAAAACAATACATGACTTCAAAAATTATACATTTGGTTTTAAAAATACTTATATCAGCAATTTTGCTTTATTTTCAGCGATACCAAAATATTCTTTGCAATATCAAAACATATTAACTCCGGTATAAATAAAAACTTTTTGCGCTCTCGTACAGATTTTTCCACTTTTGCTCCGTGAATGCATTTCAACATGTCCTGAAAAGCTCATTTTAGAAGAGTCTCTTGAAGAAATACTTATCCAAAATCAACTGCGCACACTAACAATCATTATTTATTTTGCTCTTTAATTTTGAGAATAACCGTAGAGCTTTAGAGGACTGAAATAGCATGTTTCAGTTTCATGATTTTTAAATAGTCCCGCCCTCAAAGGCTGGAAAACCTAACAAAGTCACAAGTATGAGAGGCATGCGCAAGTCAATAAAATATTTGCACACCTAAACTGAAAGAAAAATACCGATGAATAAAAGTTGTACGTAGAAAAATTTGTTCTTTAATTTTTCATAATTCTTATGATAAAACAAACCGCGACTCATCTGCTTTAGTTGTAATGTCTTTGAGAAGGTCGTTTGGTAACTAATGTGCAAAATTATGTGCAAAATTTTCGTCTGCTGGTAGTGGCATCCTACCTGCTCCCTCCCAGAGCTGTTTTGATTGGCCGGTGGATTTCCATCATGTTGTTTTTGTTTTTCAGTAATGCCCGTCGTGTCGGATCCAATTCGTGCTAAGAGTTTGTTACGTGCAAACTTAGTTTCTGCCAAACCACCCATCCTTCAAAGCAGAATGCCGAATATCAAGGTGTTCAGCGGCACATCCCACCCGGATTTGGCCCAAAGGATCGTGGATCGACTCGGTATTGATCTCGGCAAAGTCGTCACCAAGAAGTTCAGCAACTTGGAAACATGGTGAGTCTAACACGTTTTCACCGCTCTTCCCGATCTTATCGTCCACCATTCCCTCGTGTCGTAGCTCTTTTCATCTTGTGACTTCTTTTAAACCAATTCCCAGCCGCTACTTCGCCCAATTGCACCCGGATTTCTCTCGCAAACTTCGTCGCTTTCACGTCTCAGGAATCGGATTTCTGGAAAGATAGAGGCTCCTTATAACCTGTTCCAACAGGATTACCAACCCCTTTGTTTATATTGCGTTGCGGCAAGGCGATGCGGGGGTGGCCGCGAATCCATGCGGCACACAACTCGAAACACTTTTCTTCAATGATCTGTTATTGTCATGATTTCTCCTCGCTTTACTGCCGTGTAATTTCCAATCAGTGGGCTTTTGTCCCATCAGAACAATAACCTGCCTGTCAAAAGTTTGTTTTCTAAAACCTTGCAGCATCCTTGAACTTTAGATTGTTAGCCGCCACTCATGACTTTACTTAGCAACCAGGAATAACAGGAATCTAGCCTTGCTCTCATCCTTGAGGCTTTGTCGTGATTATTACCATCTGCTGTATCAGCAATTCAATATTCTAAAAAGAGATGCATTTTTGCCCCTTCTAGTCCAACCACCAACAGCCACCGCACTGGCAGTATGTGCTCACCACAGCTTGAGAATCATATGTTCAGATGAAAGTCAGTCACTGATTTGGCACTGATGAATTCCAAACACTCATCAACTTTCAACTTACGTGCTACCCAGCATGTTACATGATTATCGGGGGTTTCACCCTCGAAATGTCTCAAAATGGAGCTATTGTTGAAAAATTTTATCCTTCAGTGATAGCATCAGTGGAAGCATACATTTTTGAGCTTCTTTCATCATTTTGATTTTTTTAATCATAAGATAATGAATTATCAATGTCTGAGAGTGCCTCAACAGACTTGATAATTTCTCTTCCGTCATTCTAAAGCAATCTTTATGGCTTTGTGGTTCGACCGTACATGTTTTCATCCACATAGTGGTGAAGGGGGGAGGGGTCGGCTGACACTAAATTTAGAGTTGCTATGAAAACTGTAAATGTCTGTATACTTTGAGGAATGACAAGAAAAAAAATGAGTCAAATTCCTAATTTTTCCTGTTCGGAAAAAATTACAACCGAATCAGCTGAAACTCTAGCTATCTCAAAGAATTTTACAATTTGATGGAAATCCTAGCATTATTTCTGCAAATATAAGATTTAACGCAGGATAGGTCTCAAGGAAAAAAGCTCAAACTAGACTGTAACTGCCAGAGGTGAGAAACTTTTAAGAGACTTAGCTTGACTATCAGCACTTTTGATGCTTACAACTCCCACAGAATGCGTTGCTGTTGATTTTTCCATATGAATTCCTATTTTTCACTTTAAATTGAACACTGATTATATCTATGTCAAAGTTTATTTTTTTCTTCTCCTGAAGCAATTATTAAGTACTTAGGTACTTATGTTTTTGTCCTTTAGTTTTTCAGCCACGTAGAGAGAGATGAATCATTTTTAAAAGCATTCAACATACCTATTGTCAATATTTGATAGAAGAAATTAATCGTGTTTTTAAGCATTGTCGTCAAGAATTGTCAGGAAAGACAATTATTATCATCCATTTATATCTCTAGCATTACCAAGGTGATGGTGAAAATCGTAAATCATCCTTATCACCTTGGTTAACCAGTGGTCACTTTAGAACAGATTTTGTTGACAAATCTTTTGGATCATCCAGTTCTTATACAATCCCTGTCACCAAGATGGTAAGACCACATTAATGAGATTGAAAGATGTTACAAGTATGAAATTTGGGCGCAACAAGTTTTTAATGATGTTTCCTTCACTTTACAGTGTAGAAATAGGCGAATCTGTGAGAGGAGAAGATGTGTACATAGTTCAGAGTGGAAGTGGAGAAGTCAACGACAATCTCATGGAGTTGCTAATTATGATCAATGCCTGCAAAATTGCCTCAGCCTCCAGAGTAACAGCTGTGATACCTTGTTTCCCGTATGCGCGGCAAGACAAGAAAGATAAGGTCAGAAAATTTTAATATTCTATTTCCATATTCGTGGCTCAGCCATATATGCTGGAATTTTTTTTACTCTATTTTTTTTTTCTTAAAATTTAACGTATATGTTGATTTTTAGCCTCTTCAAACCAGCCGTTAACTTGAGGAAGATTAAAATTTAGTTCAGGAATGTGAATCTGTTTCCCTGGAGGATGGATATCACTGAAAGGCCATGACAAAGAGGAAAAAATAATTGGTTATGTAGATCTTTAAGTAATTCAAAGGTATTTGTCTTTGTTTTGGGAGGAAATAAGAAGCATTGATAAGCCATCACGGAGAGCAAAAGAATAAGAGATGTACATTTTTTAGTCCTGAAAGTTTTCAGCTTAACTGTACCCAGTTTATGCTAAACATAACTCCGCTCAATGGGGATGCTTTTACGGTAGTATTTAAATGTCTGAATATTAGGAAATGTCCAGAGGTACTTTTCCTTTATTGACCCTTAGATAGTTGCAGCATCGAGGCTATGTTTTATCTTCATTTCTGCCCTTCTGATGGGAAGATACTTAAAGGCCTTGTTCAGAGATGTTATCGAAAAGTTACATTAAAACTTAGCTGCTTGAAATTTTTCCTCTGGAGACATTCATATATGGCAGCAGCTGTTTGCTTTAGACCCATTCCAGTTATCTGTTAATTATTAGCTTTTCCTTTGATGAAAATGTCTGGACAGCTCTTCCATGTATCTGTGCACCTGTCGGTAAATTTTCTTCAGTCCTCACTTTCGGCAGCTACCAACTCAAATATATTCATTTTACCTGTGCTGCTGTGTTAAGGAAGAACGCATTATGGTCATTCAAGTGTTGCCAAATTTCCCCTGACAAAAGATTTATTTTTGAGGAAAGTGTCGCTTTCTTTTCCTTGAAATTTTCAGATGTTTTAGATTATGATTTCAACAAAATCGTCTGAAAAATTAGAAACAAAATATTCACAAGTTTCCCAGTAAATTCGTTTTTTGTTGGAAGAAATATAGCAATGTCTGAAGGCTCATACAATGTTTTTCCCTAGTATGGCAGTGTAGCAATTTGCTTTTTCAATTTTACCACACTAAAAGTTTGTTCCCCGTTTGCTACATGTTCTTGAAAAACTGTCTGCTCTTTATTTTTTGGGGTACCCCTCTCTCTGCCCCTACCTCTTTTTCTGTGGCAGATAACTGTAAATCTGTAGTATGTTGCGAGTTAATCGTCCTAAAGGTTTTCCATAGATGATCACAGCTTACAGTCCTCGATTTTTATTATGAATAATCCGAGCGTTTATACAATGCCATAAGGTACTTCTCAATGATCCTTGTAATGCTTAATTCAAATGTCGCCGTACATCTATTCATGAGCCAGCTAAATTCACTTTCATACCCTGAATAAAGTGCTTCAGGGAAACCAATGTTGTAGTGTATGCTGACGACTGGTAAAGCCTCTAAACAAAGTATTTGAATCTAGCTTGTTGTCTCTTCAAAAATTAAGTTACATAATCGTCTCTTTTTGCTGCTGTCATTATCAAATTATTTGCCTTATCTGTTTATAACAGATTTAAACCCCTCAATGTTCACGAAAGACCATTCCTTTTTTTTATTCATTGAGTCACTCTTATTCCTTCAGAGAAAGTATACATACCTGATTTATTTTTAAAAAGAAACGTCTTTGAACAATGAGGACAAAAATTGTCGTATTTTCTGTTAGTTATTTCAAGTGTGAGTAATGAGATATTCCTTTTTTATCAGAGAATGAATTAAGGCCCATTACTGAGTAGGTATAAAATTTAATGGAGCCATGAGCAAAGGGTTTGTTTTTTTCTCTTTTATAGCTAAGCAACAGTGTACAACATTTCTCTCTTAGAATATTTGTGTGATCAGGGCAAAATTCTGATTCATTTTTGTATAATCTTGCAAACATAATATCACACACCAAACTACTGAAACTGTTCAGAATTTTTCAAGAATATTCTCGTGAGGGACAATCATCGGTCGGAAAATAGTTGTTAGACCATACCATCAGGCTTGTACTGTGTCTTATACTAGTGCTGTAGAAGTCTGCACAGTCATTTGATCGTATTTCTGCCGAACGGAACAATGTGCATTAAGACATGAGCCCTGAGACCCATAAAAATATATGCATAACAGGGCTCGCATCATAATGCACATAGTTCCATTTGGTAGAAATACGTACATTTGGAACTTGCCTGCCAGACTTCAAGGCTAAATGAGTATCCTGTTATTAGCAAGATGACTCTAAGTGAGGCAATAGACCTTCAAGCTATCAGTATAATATTCCCTCATCGGGCTTAGCTATTTTAAACTTAATGCTCAAGCATCCTGTGAAAATTATTCAGATATAGAGAGTCAGAGAGGGAATGTAATGCTTCACTTTTACCTTGGGATAATCCGTTTTTTGGCAGCTCATTAAGTTGTATAGCTTGGCTAGTATCAAATTTTTAGAGATACTCTTTCATCAACATGGATTTTTTGGAAAGTCTGTAGAGAAAAAGCTGCAGGGCATGGGATGAGTAGAAATTATGGGGATGACAATTTGTGGGAGTTTTCCGCACTTAGCTTATTGTTAATAAGTTGGCTGCTCTTCTGTTAGTTTAAATTGCTGGTTTTTTTCTGCTTTGATTAAAAGCCCATGATCTAGACAATTAAGTTAATTTTTTAGAGCTCTCAAGCTATGAATCGTTCATTACATTTTATTCAGTTAATTTCATGCATCCACACTTCCTCCCCCCAGATGGAAGGATTAACATTGAACACGGTCTTAACTATTGATAGTGTACTTCATGAGCTGGTTTAATTGAAGAGCTTGCACCTGTTGAGAGTCAATTTTGGAGTGCGTTCAAAACGTCTTCTCTTTTGAGAGTTAAATTTAGTTCTTAGTTAATGCTTTGACAAGATAATTATGGGGAAGGGGCTTAAAGTATATTAATTAATAGATTATTGGTGGATCAAAAAAGGGTATCGAAACCTTTGATTGAACTAGCTGCAGCCTTTTTATAATTTTTTTTTCAGTTTTTTTATTTTAAGTATGATGTTAATTTTTCATATTTTTTTTTATTTTCCCATTTTACGGTTCCCATTTAACGGTTTCCAAGGGTAGAAAATTCCCTCTCAAAACATTTAAGGGCCATAGAATCTGAAGTGTATCAAAGATTATTAATTCACCATCAGACCATCACCCTGAGGGAAATTTAATATGCCTTTATTCCTCTTTAGCTACTCATGTGAATCCAAATGCCTTCATTTCTCTTTCTTGCTCTTTCAATAACAGATTTATCAGTGTTAGATAACAGTTTCAACACTTGAGTTGAAGCTATTTTTATATAGCTTGCAAAATTTATAATTCTGTGATAGATAGATGTTTTTTAATTTTGCGAGGACCATTTTTAATTAACTTATGTAATTCTAGGGGGATTTGGATTTTCTAGCCTGTTTGTTAAACTCCAGGCGGCATTTCAACATAACTTGCAATTTCAGGTTTTCGGGTCATTAATAGTTGCTTCAGGACGTGGTTAAATAACCAGTCAGAAATGATTAGGTTGATTACGTATCATAGATCTGGAAAGTTTAAAGCTTATCAAATATTAGTCAAACTTGGCAACTTAAAACCCTTGTCAGTTCAATATCTTGGTATCAGAGTAAAGAAAAAATGAAAGGCTGCACTACACATGGGCACATATGCTTTTGACTGATGAAATTTTGTGGTATTATGGCTCACATCATATTTTTTCCTGTTGTTCAAGTCTCAGTTCTTAACTTAATTTTCGTTTTATTTCCGCCCTTTTCACTGAGTGCAACTATTAAAGGCATCCTACCTTTATAGAACTAATTGATTAACTCTCTTTTGTTTTTCTGTGGCCAATGAAACTTGCTTTTAAGGGAGAGTATTTTTTTAATTTGAGCAGATTTAAGTGACAAAAAAGAAAAAAAAAACGATGGTATCTCCTTCATTTAAATGAAGATAGTTATAAGTACGTCTGAATATAGTGTAATTTTATTTTTACCACATCATATTTCAGACCCGTGTGTTTTAAAAAATACTCTCTCTGAATTTGTTTTTTAATAAACAACGTATCATTTGGCTAAGGTGTACTTTTTTAATTTTTTTTTTTACTTTATTTGATAGCAGGTTTAGAAATTTTTCCCAAATAAAGATAAAAGTTTCTAAGTTAGACGTTAGTTGTGGGTTTTAGGTAGGTCAAAGAAAAGTTGACGGAAAAAGTATTGGTTATGAATGGTTTAGTGCTGACATGTTTTTGAAACTTTCTTGAAACCTCTTAAAACTCACGGTTTTGTAGATCAGTTAAGTTCAAAATTTTAGCTGTTTCTCAATTTCCAGAGGAGGAACAAAAAATGGATAAATTGTACTAATCGTCAAAGATGGAGACTTTCATATCCAAATTTCTTCAATACCTCATCATTCATTCTTATCCCTTAAGTGCTCTTGGCACCTGAGAAGATAACATTTTTTGAAGTTTCCCAAGAATCAAATAATTTAAGTATGAAAAATTGTAAGAAAGGCATTTACAAGGCTCTTTCATACCCTCCCCCTTTTTTTTATCTGGAGGAGGGAGACATGAGTATTTGAATATTTTGCCCAATATTAGCCCTACAACTTTCAAAGACATTTTCTGCTCTTAAAATTTTTGGAAAAGTTATTTAACAACGTTGTAATCCCTTGGTACTTGCACCGAAATAATTAAGTACAATACAAGTGCTCCATTTGTTTGAAATATTTTAGACTTAAGTGACCGGTGATTGATTTGTTGAAACAGGGCAAAGAGGATGGAAACCAGGACGTCGCGCCTGTTGTCTGCAAAAACTTTGAGTGGAAATTCAGGGTATTATACGGTTTCTTTTATCCCTCTATCACGCGCTGGTGTCTGTTATCAGTGTCAAATCTTGCTAAGGCTGCTCCTTTCAGTTCAAGCCATGTCAACGGGGAAAAGAATCCATCATCTTACCAAGGAAGAATGTTTACTGAGTCCCATAAATTTTTGCTCTGCAAAGCTCCAAGCAGGTTTTCCCCTATTTTCTTAATCAAATAAAAGAGTGATGGAGTCAACATAGAAAATATTTTTATTAACCATTCTGTAAGTGCTCTTTTTTTCGTGGAAATTGTAGGGAGTAGGGTGTCATGCCATGGTGAACCAATGAAAGAGGAGGACTGAAAAAGGTTATAGTATTTAGTGGAAGGACGGTTCAAAGAATACAGGAAACTTATAATCCACTCTACAAATCAGAAACTCCTCATTTGGTGAACCAGCAAAGAGGAGAATTTTAATAACAGAATACAATAATTAGGACTCTGCATTCTCTGTTAAGGTGTTGAAATACTACATACTTAATTATAATTGCGTCTTTTTTCGNGGGGGGGGGGGGGGGAGGGCAAAAGGATGAAAAGGCTTCTTAAGAAAACATCTTAAATTGTTCTTTATCAGCTTATTTGAAATAATAATCGCCCTAATCAGAGGTTGCCTCTAACAGCTTCTTCTCTGCAAGTAACTGGACACACCTATATTTATTTTTCAACTGGAGTTATATATCGTTGGTGAAACTAGAAAACATGTATCCTAAAGGCTACAATGTTGCAAATTCCTAGTAATGTTTAATTTTGTCCACAGAAAATCAAGTTGGAATCAAGTGGAAATCTTGAAAATTTTTGTGATTTTCCTCCCCTAAGTTACTCATATTCTTATGAACATCTACATGAATATCCTTCAAACAATGAGGTTGCTTCATGTGTTTATAAAGAAATGAACCAAGAGCACGAATTTTAAAACTGCAATCAGATCCCAGACATTTTATCTAGTTTCATCACCGATATGTACGAGTTGTGCATGTCATAGCAAAAAGGGCCAAGTCATTGTTGCAAATTCTGGTTTCTAGCTAAAGACCCAAGGGGGAAAAATGTCTCCAGCTGCAGTTTTAACCAGCAATAATGATAGCTAAGATCGAATTAGAATATCTCTTTAAGCAGCATTTGAATCCTTTATTGAAGTTGTAGACAAATTTCTATTTCAATGAAAAAATTTCGGTATCTTTTTCCCAAAGTGCTAATTCAATGTACTGTCAATCAACAAAAACAGTGAGAAGTGATAAAAGTGATTAAAAGATCATAGGTACAATGAACATAGGTCTGCTCTGTCTTACAAAAAAGAAACAAACGGAAAAATGTGAGCATATCCTGGTGGGCTCAACTCAAAATCTTTTAATATTTTGTTCAATTTTTAACATTTGACTTGATATTATTTTGTTTGAAAATTTGTTTTTTAACTCCCCTCCCCCTCCCTTGTCACAATATTCACCATTATACAAGCGGGCAAAAATTTAGCCTCAGTAAATATTCTGCCTTTGAAGATTCATCTAACAGCCTGTTAAAGCTTTGCTTCTACAAATAATAGCTTATCTTGGGAATCATCTTGTCGGGACCATTGCCTGTCTTATCACAAACCAAATGCTTGAGGGCAAACACTTTTGGCCTCTTCTAGAATTAAGTGGCCATGCTACAAAAAGCATTAATACCAGAAAGTAACCTTGGTGTTCGAAATAGACAATTAAGTCAAATCGTTAATTTTCAGAAATGAGTAATTTGCAACGAGAAAATATCAGTGAGCAAAATCTGCAACCTTATCCATCCATTGGTAGGCGTTCTTTAAGGATTTGAGTTCAGAGATCTAGATGGAGCAGTATTTTTCACCGCAAATGATGATCGTCTACGATGAAAGGAAAATAAATGTCTTGAGGGATCCATTTAGCTTCTGTCATATCATTAAAAGTTAGTCACGGAATTTGATGAGCATTCAACCACAACTTGGATCGCTCATTCTTTTCACAAAAAAATTAACTCTTGTCTTAGCGAGAAGTTAATGATTTCCTGGTTTATCACTGTTGTATCCTCTTAGAATTCGGGAAAAACACTTCGAGCATGTGCAATTGCACAGTCTTGCTAATTCTCGGATCACATTACATCAGCTACGAAGTTCGTTTATATTACATTTATGTGTTAAATTCTGGAAAGACGTCAAAACATTCCATCGCATTAGGATTTTTTGGAGATGCAAAATCGTCTCCACTAAAGAGCTCCTCTAGAAAACTTGTGTGCAATTAGGAAAAAAATCAGGTTTGTCCTTGATATTGGACCCAACAATACTTCTTCCCATTCCTTTTGAGTACCCTCTGGTCATTACTACCATTTCCAGCCAATGGACCACTAGGCAAGGTACGAAGTTAAGCATTCTGATACATGTTTCCTATTTAAAATTTCACGTAAAACACGATTTGCACAACAAAAATTACTGAAATTACCTCCTAACTAAGATATTTAATGATATTTGACGCGTGAATTCAAACCTCCCGCTCATGGAAACACAATAGCGTACTTGAGTCAAATCGCACCTTAAACTTCACCATGACAATCTCTGCGATATGAAAATCTGGCAACCTCACTCTTGACGCTTTGGCTCAGCTACAGCAAATTGTTTACACTTTGAACAAAAAAGGGTGGGAAAGGAACAATGCTTGATTCAGAAGCCTGCTAAAACTTTTGTAAGGTGCGATTTAACTCACACAGAGAATTGCGTTTCTTGTGACCGGGCAGTCCAAATTTTCCGTAACCTATGTAAAATAAAAACGTTAATATCTTAGTTAGTAGTTGATTTCGGCAATTTACGATGCAAAAATTGTGTTCTACGTGAAATTTTATTAATGAGACATGTATCAGAATGCTTAAATGCGTCCTTTGTCTAGTGGTCTGTTGGCTAACTAACAGACTGCCCTATGTGACGTGTACAGTAATCAAGGATAGGGAGAAAAATCTTGGTGCATTTAAAACTGAAGGCAATTCCTATGTAGCCATTTAGCCCAGTAACTACTGAATTGGGAAATAAAGATAGTTTTTCCCAGCTTTCTCCGGTATTTCGCCTCATCCTATTATTAAAAAAAACATGTTTTATGCAAATAGCAAGGTTTGCTACTTTTTATCAACTGATACACTGAAAAGTGATCATCATTGCCATTTTACCATTTTGTGAAGCTGACGTTTTTTGTGTCGAAGAAGGAGTTTGGAAATTAATTTTAACAGGCACCTGTTCTAAGAGGAAAACTTGTGCAGAAAATAAGAGCTTAAGAATGATTTAACACTTAGGTAGCCTAGGATTTTTTCATTTTATTTTTTTGATCACTTTCTGTCCTCTACATTTATTGTTGAATCAACAAAGCGATTTGATGTTTCCCAATTTGGATAGCATTCTGCACTCAAAAGAAACTGATACTCCTTAGATGTTTAATGTACTGTATTGAAGCTCATCATAGATAAAAATAGTTTATCTTTCGGTTGATTAGATTTCAATGTTCAGGTTGTGCTTGGTGACTGATAAAGGCACTACATTGATGCTCCGTATAATAAGTTGCAGCCACTGATCTTTGCTCTCTTATGAGGAAGAATAATAAATATTTGCACTCCATGCATAATTACTTCAATTTTTTCCCCTTTTCAAATGACAGGTCTTCATGTACCTTTCCCCTGTATCTACTGGCTCTTATATTCTTCATAATGCTTTTGAAAGCGAACAAACCTCTACTCTTGATCAGTTTAGTTTTTTTCCTTTTTTTGATGTGGGATTTCCAAACCCAGGATCTCTGCTTCAAGGCCTCAAAATTTGTAAGAATCAGCTAGACTAGAAATCAAAAGAAACACTCATTGCCCTCTCACCACTCTCATTACCAGTTCCATCCCCTGTCCTCCTCGCCTAGTGTTTCTATCCATCAAAAGGTGTGTATTAAGGGAACATGAAATAACTTGATGAAAAAAAGTGGATTCTAACGAGAATTCCTGCCATAGGTTTTCAGGCAATTTGTCTCAGTCCTTTACGAAAAGAAGTAATCGAGAATCCACAAATTATCCAGACTTACGATTTCTTGTAATTCTAGATTATTGCATCCATTAAATTTTTTAAAGACTTAACAAGAGTAGCTTAGATTTATGAAATTACAACATTTTTTTAAATTTAATTTACACACCAATGCATTTCGGCATAAGAGCCATCTTCAGGGTACTTACAACTTACAAATACAATGAAAATTATCAAAACTTAATAATAAAAATAATTTAGTAAAAAATTACATAGTTCGGTTGAGAGAGAGGTGAGATGCGAGGAGGAAATCAATTAGCTGAACTTACAGCCGTCCAATTATTTAAGGAATTATTTATTACCTTGTGGTTGCTTTAGGTTTACTTCTTCAGCACTCTCTTGTCACAAAAACTTTTTTTTTCCAAGTAGAAACCATAATATTTGGATGAGTGCATCAGTTTCTTGGAATGAGAGATTATGACAGTCTGTAATTGGTGGCAAATATTTTTTCGAATCTTTTTTTCTTTCTTATAACCCTGCGGTCATACTTACAAAAGTTAACGTCCTAAGTCGTTCAAGTTCGTCCAAAAAATTTTAGTGGTATTCGAAAACTTTCAAACGTTTTTAATTTTCTCAAAACAACATGAATGTTCTGTAGACTCTTGTTTTGAACATCTGAGCAATTAATTATGACCACATCTTCTCCTAAAAGTTTTTCCTTTGTCACTGATGGCGATCTTAATCCCTTGAATTTTGTGTGTTATCATTGGTTATCTTATTGATTAAATTCCGTGTGAAGTTCAAATAGTCTAATTCACCATATATCATCAACACTAAAGCAATTGATTTAATTGTAGGATCACCGAGTGGTTGTGGTGAATAATGTCCCAGTATTCTCTGTGGATCATGTGGTTTGTTACGGCAACTTTCTTTTCGCTCGTGAAACTTGTGTCAAGTTTGAGGCGTGAGCCCCGTTGGTTTGATTGGAAAGCATTTATAAATGTCTCAACCTAATTAATCTTTTTTCATGCAAAGAAAAGCACAGTAAAAATTACCATTTTTTTTTTTTTTTTGGGTTTGGAATTCACATATTTGGTACTGAGTTGCATTCCCCAGTTGATAACCTATGTTTGATATTTCTCCTCCTGTCACCTGTAAAGAGGATATAAGATACCAAGAGTTACCGCCTACCAACATTTTTTCATTGGCTTTACACCCTTATGTTTCTTTAAAGATTTGGTTGCCGTTTTCTAAATTTAAAAAATGAAGCATTATTATCCAACGCCTTGGCCTCAAGTAGATTTGTTGGAACTAAGTAATGCAATCATTTCTTTGATACTTTTGAGTCTCTTTCCGTTTTGTCAGGCAAAGTTTTTGTGGCTGAGAAGTTGTCAACATTGCTAAAGAAAGTTCACCTTGAAGAAGTTGCAGTCCTAGGCCAAAATTTTTAGATGCTCTTCAAAACTTTTGATCTGCAACCGGTTTAACTCAACTTTTTTGACTTGGAACTTGCTTCAGCTATTCTCATCTTACCCTCAGAAAATCTAGAAGTTCTTTGCTTGAAAGGTCTTGTAAGACAATCAGAAGACAACTTTAAGTCAAATTAGTTTCTTTTATGGCCCCTTTAAAAATATTGGTGTCAACAATCGAATTTTTTTTTAGTAATCAGGGCTGAAAGACTCAGTTCTTTGCAAAAACCAAAGTTTGATAATTTTTACTGTTATTTTCTATGTATTGGCTCAACATTTTGAATTTGATTTTGATAGAATGTAATTCTGAAAACTAGCAAGTACAGTATACGCCTTAAGACTAGAGTATGGTAATACAAGAGCAATGTTGTGCGTTGGAAAATTCTTTTTCCATCCTCATCCTCAACTTCAAGTTTTCAGGTCCACTCTCAGTCTTAAACAGATTCAAAATGATACCATTCTGTTCTTTTCGCATGCCTGTTTTTCGAATTTTGGAATTTTCTTTTTAACTATCAGAGTGTCCAACAAAACGTAAAGTGGCTCATATAGCAAACTGTGTAAAAGTAAGCCTAGCTTGCTCGGGAGGAACATCTTTTTTCTCAATCATCGGGGAGGGGGGGGGGAGGCTCCTTGGACGCTCCTGTGGTATGTAATTTTTGCCACCATAACCATCAAGGGGCTCTCGTTTCATAATTCTAGGCGCTTCAGGGCAGTAAGTTAAATCTAATTTTTGCAGTGCCAATAGTGAAAGAAAGTTTTAGAAAATCTTCTATTGCAATAGAGGGAATTAGATTTTCCTGTTCTATGAATATCTATCAAATGCAAACGTATAAAACGTAAGATTGCTCTCTGAATTTTTCCTGCTTTTCATGCCTAATTTTTGTCCTTTGAAATTCTTTAAGAGTCTCCAACTTTATAAAGTTCTTGTCATGGCATTTCACGACATATCTAAGTTTTTTTTTGTCTAAGGGCTCTTTGAGAATCAAGGAAAATTCAGTTTCCTTTAGTAATATTTATATTTTGTCCGACTTACCACTATAACTACTGTCATACCTCTAAATGTTTTTTCAATCAAATATACCTTCAATCAAGTTATCATTCCTGGGGCTAAAATATCAATCAGCCTAGTCCTGAATACTCCTCGGTATCCATAATATGTCGTCAAAATAAGCTTTTTTTAATTTTGAATCTTACTTGAAAAAAAATTTTGGACCAAATGTGTCAACTCAAAACAAATATTGATCTGTTAATGTTCGCTCTCTCATTAAAGCAATTGAAGATTCAATTATTTTTCAAAGTTATATTCCAAAATCAGGTGATTCAGCTGTAAGTTTAACAAGCAATTCTAAGAATTGACGAGGAAAAGATTTATACTTTCATTGAATTTTTCCTTTGTTTGAAGTTTCTGTGCTTTTTTCCCTACTCTAAGTGAAATCAGCCTTTTAAGCAGAAGAGACGGTACTTTTAACATTTGCTTGCTTGCTTGACCCAGCCGTTTTCATTTGACCCTCTTGTTCGCCTTGGGGTACTTTTTGTCAGTGCAATCTAACAAGAATAATCTGCCTAGCCTGTAATACCAATGGAAAATGGTTAATGGTGCATTTCTTGAAGAAAAGAAAAAAATTGCTGTCTGTTTGGGATAAAATACTTCATTGGAATCCGTGATCTCCCATAATTTTTAATGAATCGCATAATCATTCGGGGTTACCTACGGTTGAGGGTGGATTTTTGGATTATTTCTGGAAATAAGCCTGACTGACCGTTGTTTTTATTTCAGGGTTCCTTCTCTGTAAAACCCAAAAAGTCACTCAGAACGGTAGGTAACCACCGTCATACATTTTATGTTTTGTCTCACTTTATGTTTATGTCTCACATTTTATGCATGATGATAGTCACTGGTATGTGCTTATGAAAACAAATTTTTTTTTTGATGTAAGAGCTTCCCCAGAAGTCCCTCCAAAATTCAAAGTGAGTTAGTGAACCTCCTCAAAAGACGTTCGTCTGGAGAAACTAGTCTGATAAACTCAACTATTTTAGTTCTTCCTTTTGCAGTCAGATTATTTGAATACATACTTGTATGATTTAGGTGCCTACTCTTTAAGGAAGTGTCAAAATGTATTTTAAACCCTCATTCTAAAATAACTTTAGACACATTTTACATGAATTATTAAAAAAAAAAAAAAATTTAATTGCACCTCAGTCATTATTTAAATTTGTAAGTCACTGATTCTCTATTTAAAAGTTTACTAAGCTTATAAAAGCAGTCGTTACTTTGACCAGAGAGTTTTATGCATTTATTTATTTATTTATAGATCAAAACATTGAAATTAGGAGAAAATGTATCCAAATTAAAATTTACAAACGAGCAATTGAGACAAGAGTTGTAGAATTGTGATTCAAAATCAGTTAAAAGAAACATCTTGCAAACCCTTTCCCAGGTTTGACCCCAATAAGAACTTCTTGTTTTTCTCTAAAATGAAGAAAGAGAATATGACAGCCTCTCTTGTATAGTTGCATCGCATAGTTTAAATATATGAGTGGATTGGATCCCCCAACAATATCTCAAAGATTTTTCGGCGATGATGGTCTATCACTAACAGTGTCTAACAGTGTAACTTAATAATCCAGACTCTGGGCAGTGCTCATGAGTAAGCTATCAGGAGAGCCAAACATTGAATTAAATCTTAACCGATCATCTGTTTTTTCAGCCAAGAAGGGAGGTCCAGAGCTAGTACCAGAATAAGTGACAGTTAAAGGTTCTATCTGCAGGCATTTATCTTGTTTTTAGCTCCTCTTTTTTTTGACTGTACATGTTTTTGATACACATGCAGGAATTTGGATGCGTTTCATTGTTACATATCATGGTGTTTTTACTTCGAAGTACAAATACCCACCAAAGAAGTACACTAATTGATATAATAGTCCATTAGACAAGGTTTGATTAAGATGTATGTTTTCTTATCAAATTTTCTTGTAGAACACGATGTGTGATCAACGAAAACTACCGAAAGTAACTTTACACCAAGATATTAACGTTTCTTACGGAGTAAATTCAAACTTCCAGCTCACAAGAAAAACCGCAATCCACTTGAGTTGAATCTCACTCGCAACGTTACCTTAACAATTTCTGCTCTATAAATATAAGAGATATATGTATTTTGCAACCTTAATCTCAGTGTCCGCAGGGTGGGGAAGGAAAATTACATACTTGAGGAGCCTAACAAATCCATTGTTGTTCTCGATTTAAGTTTTTTGCCGCCAGTGTTAAATTAAAACGTTAATATCTTGGTTAGGTGTTAATATCAGCAATTTTTGTTGTTTAGATCATGCTCTATGACAAATTTTGAAGAGGACACAGTAATCAGAATGCTCTCATTCATACTCTCTGTAATGGTCTATTCAACAATTCCATTGCCATGTGAAAGTTGAAATGGCACTTAGGAAAACGGAACCTGAATTTACTTGTATAATGATTCTAGTTAGATTTATCTTCTTCATTCAAGTTTTTTTTCTCAATCATTAGCCACGTTGTCTCATTAGCAAAAGCACATCTGTTTCAATATTTCATCCTAAATTTTAGACGCCTGAAAAAAGATGAGTCGAGAGATCTTTGAAGCGAGAGATGCAATGGGAGCAGCTTGAAAGATAATACGTCCAATGGCATAAATGTTGCTAAAGGACAATAGTCTGGAGAGATAACTTTATAAAAGATAATGATCCTCCTATAAAAAATTGTATCTGCAACGGTAGAGGTATACCTGCTTTGTGTAACTTTTCCTGGTATTTATTCTGGATAGCTCTGAAGTGTCTGATCCAAAAAATATATTTTCCTTTCATCCATTTTGATTCATCGTTATACATAGTGAAAAGATCGAAAAATTTACCTCAGAATTCACCTTTTTGTCTCAAATTTCTAAGAAATTCTCAGTAGGTAATCAGATCGAGGCACGTGAGATTTTTTAACGGAATATTCTAATTAAAAACTTGTCCTCTATTTTCCAGAGTCGAGCACCCATCTCTGCAAAGTTAGTTGCTAACATGCTTTCAGTGGCTGGGGCAGATCACATTATAACGATGGATCTGCACGCATCACAGATCCAAGGTTTCTTCGACATTCCTGTGGATAATCTCTATGCGGAGCCAGCAGTTCTAAAGTGGATTAAAGAAAATATATCTGAGTGGAGGAATAGTATTATCGTTTCTCCAGATGCTGGTGGTGCTAAAAGGTAACGCTAAAGTTTATTTATTTTTGTATTTGGATTGCGTTTAGCAGGAAGGAACCAAGCCACATCAGCTATGGTTAAATTTAATTGGGCAATTTAGTGCGGATTTCTTTAAAATTTTTGAGGAATTTGCTTAGTATTATGCAGAAAATTCACTGAAATTTGCACAAAAATCCACTCAACCATTTTTACGTAAAATATTTAACAGCCCAATTAAATTTGGCAGTAGCTGATGTGGCTTGGTTCCTTTCGACTTGTCGCAGTCCATTTTATCATATTTGATTTCCATGTTAATGAAAAAACAACAAACTTTATTGACTGAAACACCAGGCACAATAGCTCTGCTAGTAGCTAGGGCAGCAGGTTTACTAACTCCAATTATTTTTTATTTTCTATAGGTATCTTTTAGGTATGTGTAATAAACAATAAAATGTACCACCTTTTGTACAACTCTCTATATAGAAGTGTTTTCTTTTTGTAAGCTTCTTATAGGGAGGGGGAGGGGTCTGAGCTTGTCTCATGAGATCTTATGAAAGAGGTCGTCAAGCACAGTCTTATGTAAGCTTCCTACTATAAAAGAAATTTTTACATTTTCCAATCATAAGAATTTTTTTTACTTATTTTTCAGTGTTTCTGTGTTATTTTCTCGAAAATTGGGGGGAGGGGGGGTTAGATCAGTCTAACGCAATTCAAGAGGAGGATTTGAGAGATCGTCGTATGGGCACCTTACAAGGGGGAGGAGGGGTCAAGAGGTCGGCCAAAATACCCTTTGTAATACTTTAGTCTTAACATAAAGTCTGAACATTGAGCAACTTTGTGCGCTTTAATTAATAAACATCTTTATTTTCCAGAGTCACTTCTATTGCTGATAGACTGAATGTAGAATTTGCTTTAATTCACAAAGAGAGGAAGAAGGCTAACGAAGTTGCATCCATGGTGTTGGTGGGAGACGTCAAAGACAGAGTTGCCATACTCGTCGATGACATGGCTGACACCTGTGGCACTATCTGCCATGCGGCGGAAAAGTAAGAACTTTCTTTCTTCAACATTAAAAGAAATAGAATGTGAGGTGTTATCATTCTGACTATTTTAAGACTCCTTTGAGAGAACTCCAAAGGGACTAAGTCAGAACTTTATTTTTCCTTCAATGAATTTCAAAAAACTTAGAGAAATTTCAATATCTACTCTATATAAAAAGGTAAGCTCAGGTTGCCGTAAGGCTATAGTGTATGCCCTAGTGTATAGTAAAATAATAAAGAAAAAGGTTAGGTTGCATAGCTCAGAAAAATGTAATTTTGATCAGCTGTTTATGTCCATCAGGTTATTCTAGATAATTATTTGTCTCTGTTTTGACATAGTACAGATGGCAAACAAAAAATGAATATTGTTTAAAAGAAGGAAATAACTTGAAAAAAAAAAAAATAATTTATTTTATGTCCTAAAATTCTTTTTGCGCCCTAGAATTTTTTTGTTATCTCTTGCCCTTCTGTCATTGAATGTCATTTTTGTTGTTTTTTCAGACTTATGGAAGCTGGCTCAACGAAAGTTTATGCCATTTTAACCCACGGTATATTCTCAGGCCCTGCCATCTCTAGAATCAATAACGCTTGTTTTGAAGCGGTAGTTGTCACCAACACAATTCCGCAAGATACTCATATGAAAGAATGTCCTAAAATTCAGGTGAGCTTTTGAGCCGCTTAAAGCAAGCAAACTGTTTTTGTATAAAATACTCAGTAACATTTTTGAAAAATAATTTCTCTGAATGATCAGAGAAATTCTGAAATTATCATATGATTTTTTGGTAGTAAATCTGGAAAACTTGATGAAATGGGCCTGATGCAAACTTTTGCTAGAGCAAAAACAAGAGTTGTTACTCATAGAAATCACGATGAGCGCATCGGCAATGTCTGAAATGCACTCCTTAATTCAAAATTTGCATAAGGAATTTGCATTTTTTCGAACTTCCCGCCTCAAAAATGATAACACGGCACAGGCGAGCATTTTGTTAGAGGAGTCATTCCATCCAACCCCTGCTCTCAAGGATATTATGCAATATTCAACATAGCCGACGCCAATCTGCCGAAACACATGTGATGAGACGATGATTTTAACCACCTGATAACAATCGGCATGTTTACATTCACATTTTTCTCGCGTTGATAGATTGACCCTGATTGCCTTGATTGACCTCGTGCTCTTGTCAACTTGTGCGCGAAAGCGTTGGCCTTGTTGAGCAGGAATTGAATGGAACGACTCCTCTAACGAAATGTTCATCTGTGCTGTAGCATACTTTTTGAAGCGGGGAGCTTAAGAAAACACAAATTTCTTACGGAGATAGTGAAGTTAGGAGTGCATTTCAGAGTTTGCCGATGCGCTCATCGTGATTTTTAAGACATCCTTTATAAGGAACGACTCTTATTTTTACTCTCGCAAAAGTTTGCAACAGGCCCATTAAAAGGTTAATTGAGACAAGTATGGGGATTTTTGCTTACAAAATAAATTGAGACTTAAACGAGATATTTTGAAAATGGTCGTTTTTCTGGATCAATTTAAAAGATTTTTTTGTTTTTTTTGAGCCTACTCATAGTTGCTTGCCAATTAGAGCCTCAATCAAGTCATGCACAAGCAAGTTAGTTGTACTTGTATTCTGCTTAACCTGACATACTTTCCTATGGGGTTGTTAAAAATGGTTGAAGTCCAACCTTTTGGTGTGGAGAGCAGTGTCTGTAACTCGGCATGAAGTCTTAGCAGCCATCTGGCCAGCGACTTTTTTTCTTGGGGGCCATCTCCGATTTCTTAGGGGCCAAAATGAAAAATTTCCCTTTCGAAATGCCTGAAGTCAGAAATACCCCATGGAATAGCCCCATGCCATAATGTTAGGACAAGACCCGATGAGTCACGAAACTTGATGAAGACGGAGGGGAAGAATTGATAACTAGACACAATGTGGCACCTTGCAGAATGCGCTGAAAAATCCCGAAAATGGAGTTTTTCAACGATTTTTTTAGTGGCCAAGCTTGGCCGCTAGTTTCATTCCTTAGCGGCCAAAGGCAATTTCTTACCGGCAAAGTGCAGTTTGGCCAGCGTGTGTCACAATCACTGGTGGAGAGCCATTTGCCTTATTGATATCCCCCCCTTCCACTTCCTGGTTTGCTCATGAAACAAGTGAACTTTACCGCTCAGCTGATGAAACACTTACCTCTGCCAACCTCTCTAAGTGCCAAAGCACAACCACAGGGTATCTACAGGTCTAGAGAACAAAAACCGGGAATAGTGAGGAAATCAGGGGAAAATAAGTGAATTTTATGAGGAAGACAGGACAACTATTCTTTCAATTTTCATTGGGTTTTGCGCATTTTCAATTTCATGGACATGCTTGAAAATATTTTTAGCAACGCTTTAAGAAGGTATCAAAAAACGCAATTGGAGTCAAGTGCTTTCCTCTGCTGCCAAGCTGAGAGATCGTGAAAACCAGGTTAATTGTAAGATTTGGGCAGGCGGCCATTCCATGAGCATATACCAAGCAGCATATCTCTTCGAGGGCAATTTTAGTTTGCATGAGTTTTTCTCTGCATAATGAGAATTTCAGTTTTTAACTGAAGTCTAGCACATGTTGGCCAAAAAACGAACAGTGTTCTCTAGAGATACCCAAAGCTCTAAGCAAACCCCCATTTTACCTTTGCTTTGTTTTGCCGAACACGAAAAATACAAAGTGGAGCAATGTTATGAATTCATTGCAGAAATTTGAATTTATAAACCAGCACATAAAGCAGCCGTGTTCCGTTTGGTGCCAATTCTTTTGACCAATTAAAACGAATAAAATGAAAACATTCATTCAAATTTTGTCAATTATTTATGCACCACTTCTTTGTCGTTACTTTTAAAAATGCCTGCTTTCTTCACCCCTATTATTTGCATTTCGGTCTTCTCATTGGGCCTTGGAAAGATTTGTTGCTTTTTTTGTGCATACTTCTCTTGCTGCAGGATTGTCACACATCAGTAAGAAGTCCTTACCTGGAGTTAAATTTCAAATTATGAAGTGGAAGGAACTTTAAAGACAGTTATAAGTACTGGTGCAACTAATTTCATATTTTTGGTTACACATTTCAGTGATGCGGGAGAATGAATCAAATGAAAAATTGTTTGATTTTATCTGAAACTGATTCCCCTCTTGGATCAGAAATTGAATCAATCTCTTGGTTTTTCTTGTTTCAGTGCATTGATGTTTCTATGATGTTTGCGGAAGCTGTCCGTCGAACCCACAATGGTGAAAGTGTCTCGTACCTCTTCTCAAATGTTCCTTACTGATTACTTTTAGTCATATTGAGCGGCCATTCAGAACAGTCCCCCATTTTCACTCTCTCACGATCGGATGGTTTATTTATCAAGTATGTTTTTTCTTACATCAAGTCATCGATGTTTATGTCATTTTTTCCTCTATTTTGAAAAACGTCAATGAATCCGTCACAATTGCAATTTAGTTTTATCATAAATCTTCTCCCTACTATCCCCGTGTTTCAATTTTTGACTTTTTGACTTACTTTGAGCTTCAACAATTCTTCCCTCAGTGCAGGGATAGAGAAGTATTGATGAAAAATTATCATATCAGCACCTCTTATTCAAAAATGTCTTCCTCCTCCCTCACTTTCTTACATAGCGGGTAGAGAAACAAATTGATTGTTGTTACAACTCAGCCATTTTAAGATGAAGAGCTGTATTGTATCACTGTTAAAAAATACCCACAGCTTCGGCATTTTATTGCCAAATTGGTCTTGCAATCATTACTGTATGATTGGTGACTTGTCAGTCGTCAGTCTATCATTCCATTAAGTTAAACTTAGACTGTTCTCAAAAGCTCTGTCATCAAAGCTTTTTCAAACAAAGCTTTGAATGAAAAAATCATCAAGGAAAAAAAATTGTTTTAATTTTTCAGGATTCAGTCAAAAGTTAGGGCTCTTACTGTATCTTCCCAATGTTGTGAATGAAATTGCATCTTTTACATAACTTTTTATCCCAGGCCTGTAATGTAAAATAAGTCTTGAATAAATCATGCAATCAAATTTTACCCAGGTAATCTTACTCTCATGAAAAGCAACTCGTGACTACTCTAACCACAGGGTGCCGTTCCAGTTCCAAAAACTTGGAACAGCATAGCTCAATTTTTCTCTTTTCTCTTTAATTTGTAATTTCAACTATAATTACTGTGACTATAATGGGGACCTGAAAACTGTCGCGCATTTTCGTGTGACCTGACCACAATCATTGTTCTTTTCACTCAATCAAAAATTTTTTGCTTCTTTTTTACTGTTGTGTACGATTTGGATGCCGACCCAAACTTGTTCCTCGTAGGACTTGACTCTGATTCACAGTAAGAGTGGAACGATAGCTCTGTGTTGTCAAGATTGTTTTTATTATTATTATTGTTATTTATTCTAAGACTTGAGATATTTTGTCCTAAGTGATGTGCGTGCAGAATGGAACGTTAGTGTTTGATATGCTACTTGAACAATTGAACTGGACGTTGATAAGAATGCCATCCCAATTTAATTTTTTTTCTATGAGAACCGAGTGCCCAACTTGTTGCTATGTTTGAAGTGCCATTTGAATCAAATGAACGATTGTTACTTAAACCCCTTGTAGGATTTTTCAAAATCCCTCAATTAATGGACATTGTTTCAACTTCTCATTTTGATAATGAAGGGGTTTGTATGTTCTCACAACGAATAGATTTTTTAACGGAAGTGATTTAATTGCGATTCCTCAGCAAAATAAGTTTCACACACACGAAGTGTGGCCTTTGAAGGAGCAATATGAAGAGAGTGGAAAAGTTTTGTATTCTCGCAACTGTATCTTCCCAATTTTTTCGAGTACTATTTCCCAGTTGTGATTTAAAAAATTTGAGTCGTGCAATTTTTAATTTCTTTTCGAATATTCAATGCGATTTCAAAATTCAAGAAATCTATTTTAAGGAAGTAAGTTTTTCTTTCTCTTTTGTTTCTATAAATTCTAAGAAATGTATCCATCCATCCATCTGGCTATATCATTTACATCCATTCATACTTTTTTCTTATTCTAATTTTTACCGGCCCCCAAATCCTTTTTCTAAAATTAGTTTTTTTAATTATCCCATCGTTTAACACCGATGCTGGCTCTAGTAGTTGTAAAACTGATTCCTGCAGAACTAAACTTGTTGACCTGTAAAATGAATTGTTATTCTGTGTAAAATTTGCACCAGCCAACTCCAGGTGTAATATGAATCTGCATTATTAATCATCATTTCTCTTACATATAGTTTTACAAACTGCCTCGCCTATCGTTCATTTTTCCTGTGTCTGATTTTTTGTGGCGAAAGTTAAGAAAAAACCAAGTCGAATAATTTTTCATTGAATCACTGTTGCACCTTTGCAAGTACTAGTTAATTATTTGATGTATCATATTGCTCTATTAAAAACTAGTAGAACAAGATTTCTCTCTTGAAGTTTTAATTTTCTTGCTACCTACCCCAATGAAACTTTTAGGAAATGTCTAGCTATCAAGCAACTGTCTTACAGTCAATCCAAAAATTTACAAGGAAAATTAACATTGCTTCAAACAAGACCAATCCACACAGGCCAGTCATCCCAATGGATGAGTTTTGTGACCCTACCATGCTTTGTTGGCTGGAGTTCAAGTACAGCTTTGTTGGCTGGAGGTTCAAGTGCAATGCATTTCTTATAAAAGCAGCCAAAGCCTCGTTACAAATGTCGCACTGTCACAACCGTCACACTGACTGCTATTGAACAGGGCTGGGCAGGGAAGTAGATTCCAAAAGAATCCACAATGTCTGACCTGACTGGATTGGTCTTTCCTTAGAAAGATTTCTCCTCGAATATGTATCCAATGTTTATAATTTTTACTTTTTCGTTAACTGTGTATCAGTTGTTCTAACTAGTTGCATTTCATTTAGAAAAATAAAAATTACAAATCTAAAAAAATAAGAAAAAACCCTCTATTTAGAAAAGGCAACTGGTCTAGGAAGCTTGAAAAATTATTTTTAATGACAGGTTGATGGAAACTGAAACGAGGCTATTTTTACCTTTTAAAAGAAACCCCTACCTGTTGCTTTCTAATAATGGTGTCAGAGCAGAATTGAAACAATTGAAACTTAATCGTTCAGCACATTTAACATGTGACTGATTACAGTTTCTGTCTAGGGCAATTAATAGACTTTTCCATACCTTCTCCATCAATCTACGAGATGATTACACGAGAAGTATGTATCTACGAGAAGACTATCCTCAAAGTTTTAAAGACTTTCCCATCATGATGACACATCGTTGGAAAGAGCTAAGTCAGAACCTAGTCAGAGCTTAGAGGAAAGTTTCGCACAGAACCTTCTCTATCATCTGACTAAAAGTGGCATACGCTAGAAGTTTTGATATTTTCAACTCTCTACTGGTTGGTTACTGCTAAAAGTCTCTGTCCTCATTCTTTTATTGATGGTTAACTGCTCTTTAAGGTCTCAAGAAAACATGTCCATCTCTCTCTTTCGAAGAACACATGTGCACTTCCTCAGATTTATTTTTGTGTCTGCCATCAAGTGACACATCATCAGGTCAAAATATTGAAGGCCATATTGAAGGAATCATTTTTAGCCCAAACTGAAGTTACACATTCATAATTAATTCAAAATGGCGGAATGTAAGTTTAAAGTTTTTAGAGGTTTGATCGACTTTAATTTTGAATCGGCTTTGTGTGAAGACTATTGACATGTGCCTTAAATTGCTCTATTTTGTGATTTTTCTATCAATAAATCACAAGAGACAGGTAGTAGTAGTAGAATGTATTTATATTAAAGAGGTACCTTAGCAACTTTCGTCATTCACACCTTTACAATTTTTGAACCTAAAGAAATAAAGAAAATAGGGCAGTGGTAAGGAAGTTTGGAAGCATGAAAGGGTTGTGATGTACCCTGAGTCTAGTGTAAAATTTTGTAAAAAAAAAAAAAAAAACCCAAGAGTTCTATAAACGTTTCAAAAAACATTTGCCAAGGGGAGGAAAAGCTAGTCTAAATACTAGTTGAAACATGCAGCCATACAATTTTGAACAATTATTTTATTTTGCTAAAAGTTCCTTTGAGCTTTAGAAGTTTCTTCGTCCACAGAATACGTAACGTTCTACGGGGGTGAAAAGCGTTAAGGAGCGTTATGTCAAATCAAAAGCGTTACGATTACGGCGGGGGATGGATAGTCAAGGAATCCGTAATTTAGCGTCACGTTTTTATGAGCGGCCCTCCCCAAGAACCATTCATAAGTACCCGCCATTTGTTTGAGACATTAGTAGCGCTCTCTACCGGTCGGTCAACTAACTCCAATCAGCGACGGCAAGCTTGCGTTCAATGTCTGCAGAGGCCGCTAGTGCTACTGAGTTCTTTGCTGTGTTTACAAAGTGGTGTTTACGTTCTGTCAGCGACAGATTCGCCAGCCACGTAACTTGTGATAACAGTTTGAAATTTAATTTAACAAATGTGATAACTGATAAGATAAGAACCTGAATAATTTGGTGAATTTTTTCAAGTTTTCAGTTAGCCTGTCAGCAATTTTTGCGGTACTCCTCTTACGTAACCTCACCCCCATTGAACTATGCCACCGAACAAGAGACCTCCCATTTACTTCACCAAGGTAAGAGATTCCAACAACTTTTGGATCTTAAATCCATTGGCTATTCGGTCAGATAATCGATTCAAAGGAAAAGTTTTTTATGCTCCGAAATTTTTTTTGGGGGGGGGGAGGCTGAGGAGGGGTGATGAGAGAAAAGTTCATCCATACCATCCAGACCCCACACTTAATACCCTTTTATCAGTTGCTATTTTACTTCAATTATTTTCCCTTACATTACTCAAGAAGCTGGTGTTCCGTCAGAGATTTTTGCCACGGAAGAAAATCCCTCAAAATAAACCTTCTGGACACCTGGGTAATGGTTGATTCTTCCGATTGGAAATTTAGAAAAAATGCATGAACTTATCAAGTTTTCAATTTTCTTTGAGTCCAGATGAAAGACTCCGCCTTGTCAAACCCTCTCGCATTTAAGTATCCATCTATTGAGTTCACCACAAGGCCTGGAAAATTATATTCAAGTTTTATTTCAGCATAACACGTTAGATTTGCATTTTTCACAGGCCTCCCAGCAAAGAAGAGCGTACCTGCCTTCATAACAATGAAGATTGTCTTAAATTTACACTTTTCATGCCAGTGAGAATATGAGCCAATAGTGCTGTACTTTGGCAATAAATTATGAATGTCATCCATTGTGTTTCGCAAAAATTTAACAGCGTTTTATCGCTGCAAGAACACCTATAATCTTGAGATGAGTACCTTGTCACCTGCCCCTTCAAAAATCTGTTTTTAAAAACTTTTGAGATCTAGTACAAATAAGTATGTATCATGTTGGTAACTAATAATGATTTTCTACCATGACGAGGTATATATCTTAATGTCTGCAGGGTTCGATTAAGTACTTTTTTATTTTCATCAGAATGAGGACAGTGGAGATGAAGACTTCGGGAAGAACAACACTTGGATTTTGACAGGAGTAATACCAGCATCATGATCATGATGACCCCTTTTTTTCCAAACCTCTAAATTCATCAGTCTCTCCTGAGATAACTGAGATATAAAATTATAGTATTCTTCGATGGGAAAAAACGAAGAAAGTCATGAGTTATCTAAGTATTTGTTAGATCAAAAAGGGAGATTCGTAAAGACCTTGTTTCTTAAGTCCCAAGTCCACTTTATCTAATTTTCTGTATTTTAAATCACAGAAGTTGCGGTCGTAACAATAATTTCCTCCTTTTTATTTTTTGTTTCAGCTTTTCATCAATGGTGAATTTGTACATGCCAAAAATGGTAAAACTTTCCCCACCGTCAATCCAACCACAGGAAAAAAAATCAATGATGTCTCTGAAGCCGACAAGGTTCTAAACATGCCTTTTTTATCCTATATATAAGTTTTTACATGTTATTCTTCTTTAAGGTCCTAGAGAAATGGAAAATCCAGTTCACTAAGTCATTTCCAACTTATATGATTATGTTAACCTACCATGGATTAAATTATGAAGATTTAAGTAATCAGTACTGCAAATTCATAAGTATGCTCCCTGTCTAGCTATGTGCCTATTTTTTTTGGTGAAGCTTTTGTAAAACTTGGAACAGCTTCCCAGTGGTTATTCAAAATTAATGAAAGACAGCTCAGATAAGGGGATCAGTATTTATCAGTCGTTGACTTTTAATCAAGTAAATGAGTTGATAAGATTGTCAATCCAAACTGAAATGCTGAGAGTCATATGGTAAATTCCTCAGAGCATATTAAGTAAGAGAATTGTTGAAAATACTTTCATCAGTAGACTTGGGGTCCCTGTCCCCTCCTTAGCACGCACAGTAAAGCACAATTTTTTGCTCAAAAACTTTTTGAATTTTTCATTACTTGATTAACATGCATAATGTATTGATTTCTTGGCTTCCTAAGAAGAACTTGTAATTTTGACTGTCAGAATGTGGAATAGGATCTCGAGAGATATCATTCTGTTTTTCCCCCAAAATTTTAAATTAAGATTTTACTATCTCTGTGCACCCGTTTCATGGCAAACTTTCTGAGTCCATTTGAGAAGTCATATAATTTCACAAAATTTCATTTTTTAAAGTTTCATTTTTTAAAGTTTCATGAAGTTATTCATTTCTGGGTCTGAGAGGGGGGGGGGGGGNCCCCCCCCCCCCCCCCCCCCGAAAAATTGTAACCATATGTTTCTGTACAACACCAGTTGACCCCTGCGAGGGATTAATAGGCCCTTGCCCCCTCGAAAATTTTTCTAGATATGCCCATGGGTTTTACACGAGTACCTATTTATTGTTCCAGGCGGACGTAGATCTAGCAGTTGCAGCTGCTAAAAATGCCTTTAAATTGGGATCTGAATGGAGAAGTATGGATGCCTCTGCGCGAGGCAAACTGATTCTCAAAGTAAGCATCTTCAATATGTTTTGTTATTAAGACCATGGAATGTGTTCTTTGATTTTTCACCGGCAAAGATATGGTATTCAACTCACTAAGTAGCACGGATTGAGCAGGCCCAATTCACCAACTGAAAACCCCTATACTTACTTATTTTGTCTTTGTTTGATTTAAAGCACATTATAGAATGAAATTAAAAACTTAACTCTCTTTCAGCTTTTGGGCGCTTGAATAGAAAAAGTGAGTACCCAGAGTTTTGAATTTCATTCCGTTCTTACTGAATTTTCATCATTTTCATTTATTTTAATTTTTTACTGAAAACAAGTTTGTTGTTAAGGCTAGAAATTTGATAAACTTGTCGTGAAAGCTTGATTTATGATTTTCAAAGTATGATGCTGCAAAGGGAAACAGCGTTTTTGTAATTTAATTTTTATTGGGTCAGTATCAATGCTTACTTATACATGCTTAGTGCTTACATAAATTTTGGAGAGAGCCAAAATTACAAAGAAACAAAAATATAGCCCTGAATATCTTTGTTGGAAAGGAGGCATGATTGCTTGAAAATTAGAGAAATCTCATGTTTACTGTGTGTCTCTTATCTTTTATTATCTCCCATAATCTTGTTGTTCATTTTATTTTTTTCTCCCTTACCTACACAGCTTGCGGACCTGATCGAAGAAAATAAGGATTATTTAGCAAATTTAGAGACTCTAGATAATGGAAAACCGTATGAAGATTCTCTTTTTGACATGTCCTGTGTTGTCGATACCTTCAGGTATTTTGCTGGATGGGCAGATAAAATCCACGGAAAAACCATTCCAGTCGGTAAGAATGTTTTTAATACCATTTGCTCCTTCGAAGAATTCAAGGAAAAGAAAAAGGAAAATTTATGAAACTTACAAGATTCATTATTATCTCTTGAGTAGAAAATTCATGACTGGTAGCAGAGCTAACTGGAGGAGCGTTACAAGTTACCATGGAATAAGAGTACTCAAATCTCTGCTTGGGTCTGTTTCCCTCCGATTTTTAATGATGTTTGGAGGGTCCATTTGCCAAAACTGAAGATCTGATGGTTAATAGATTTTTATAAGGTATTGATTGGTACAAATTTCAACCAAATCAGAGGTAGCTTGACTGAGCCCTTTCCTTGTCATTAAAAGTGGATTTTTCTCCATAGTCATTCGAGTAATTTTCCAAATTTTGGGTTTAATTTAAATCTGAGAGCCTGCTAACATGTAAGCAATAGCCAACTGGATTTTTCATCTTTTTCTGTTTGGAAACTCTGAAATAGAAAACTTTACTCTTCTAATGACCCTTATAATTCTGTGTTTTATAATTTGTTTCCCAAGAAGATGTCAATCAGAGGGAAAGAAAAAATTTATCTGAATCTTGTAATTTTACCCTTATTTTCCTTACATACATATCTGTATTTTTCAGATGGACCTTACTTCAGTTACACGGTGAGAGAGCCAGTCGGTGTTGTAGGTCAGATCATTCCATGGAACTACCCTGCTATGATGATAGCATGGAAGTGGGGACCAGCCCTAGCTGCAGGTTGTACCACTGTATTGAAACCTGCTGAACAAACTCCGTTAACTGCCTTATACATCGCTTCTTTGACGCAGAAAGTTAGAGCCCTCTCTTTTTTCTCATGCTCATTTTTCTCTTCTTTAATTTAAATTTTTTTGTTACTTTGGTATAGAATAAAATTGATAGTGTCAAATAACATTTGGCAAGGCATGTAAAGTTCAACAAAATAATTTGACAATTTTTCTTGTCTCAACAGGCGCTGGGTGCGAGAAAGGCATTTTACAATCGCAGTATTTCAGAATCACCGATTTTATTTGATTCATTGAAAAGATTGAAAAATTTATCAAATATCTTTAATGATTCTCAAATGTTCTAGGGATCAAATTTTGTATAAATTACCCATTAGATTCTCCTCTAAGACATAAATTAGTGGCAGAGATTTTGAACCATCGCAACCGAGACATAATCTTCTCGCACCGACCATCTGATTTAATGATTAGTCATCTCAACCACAGTCAATGACAACTCAATTTTTGCAGGCTGGAGATTTCAGACCATGAATTAAAAAATACTAAAAAGTAAGAATTTTCAGTACTGTGCTCACTTAGTCAGTCTTATATTGAAGGAATAACCTGGAGTCCAATTTTCAGCACTTTGAAAGTTCCATAGTTCTGTACTAGTAAATATTGCTCACCAGTTATTCAGAGAAGATGATTGTTTTCTTGTTACATTAGGCTCTCAGGAAAAGTATTTGACTCCTTAACCTCTTCTTATATTCTTTTTATTAATTTCTTTTATATTTGCAGGCTGGATTCCCACCTGGTGTCATCAATGTTGTCACGGGGTATGGTCCAACAACCGGTGCTGCTATTGCATCTCACCCAGATATTCACAAAGTTGCTTTCACCGGCTCAACAGAGGTGAGTTTACAGATCATAATGTTGTTAGTTGCTGGAGGATTTAGCTGTATTCAAAGACACCTCTCTTTCTTCGGAGCTGAATGATGGATTTTCTTTACGCCTCAAGAGGGTTATGCCCTGAGAGCTGGCGAACCCTCAGGTCTGAACCAATAGGTATAGGTAAGGGGTTAGTCATAATTGTAAAGAAGACACCAACTACCTGGTCGTTTTAAATACTCTTTGATTTAACTTTTACGTATAATGTGTTCATTTCTTATGTCGAAGAAGCTCACAATAAATCAATAGAAAAAAAGAAAAAAACTTGATTTAAGATTTTCTGATATTTAGATACTCCCCTCCTCCAAAAAAAATGTAGCCCCAGAAAATACGAGGAGGAAGTATTTATTTCGATAATGTTTCTTGCTACTTTTAATCTGACAGAAAGTGTAAAAAAAGTGTTTTTAATCTATCTAAGTTTGCGTGATTTCACCGTCTGAAAATATTCTTGGAAAGTTTTATGAAAATTTTTCTATTATCCTCGGTTTGGAAAAGTAGTAGGAGCTAAAATTTTTAAATACTATTTTTGGAAAGTCTTTTTTCCCGTTTTATATCCAGTGTTCTTTAGAGTTACAGATACACCTCATGATGTAGAGATAAGATCTAAGACTGCTCTCAAGTATACGTTGTTTAAATTGCCAGCTCTACTATCTTTCAGTTATTTGTGAGATTTAAAGCAAAAGAAATGAGAACAAGTTTTCAAGAAAGATTCGTTTAATTCCGCTAAGTATCAGTAACAATTTTTACTGTTTGCTTTCCTCTGTTTTAGGTTGGTCATTTAATCATGGAAACAGCAGCAAAAACCAATTTAAAGCGAGTCTCACTAGAATTGGGTGGAAAAAGTCCGTTAGTAATTTTTGATGATGCAGATGGTGAGTATATTTTTGTTACAAATTAATCTTTGACCCTCTCGTTTGGATCAATTTTCTCTGAAGTGAGAATCTGTAACTTCAAATATAATTTTCTGCCAGGATTAAAAGAAGGGCTCTTTTCAATTTTTGGAAATTTTACATCAAGGAAAAAACGAAATGAATTAGCAAGTAGTTGATACTGTATTTCTCCAAATCTTTTGCTTTTTCCAATTTATTGAGTTTCTTTTTTCTTTTGAAGCTTTAATTGGACGTATTTCTACCAAACGGAACTATATGCATTATGACGTGAGATCTGTCACGCATGTATTCTTATGAGTCTCAGGGCTCATGTCTTAATGTTCATAGTTCCGTTTGATAGAAATACGTCCAATTGGTCCAAGTGAGTTAATCATTCTCAAAAAGACTTAAGCCCTAGAAATGAAACCATAAGAAAAACGGTAATAACCATTTTAAAACATTTTAATTTCGTGACTTGTGCGGAAAAAGCTCCCTTATTTTATGATAACCATTTTAATCAACCTGAAATTTTCACTCTAAATAGTAAAAGAGCTCTAAAATGCTGAAACGATAATCGTATTTTTATCTAAGCTGCAATTTAAAACGGGTTGGTTAATACAGTTTCTACTGTTTTTCTTGTGTCTTAATAATTGGCATTTAAGTATTTTTGAAAATGACCTCTTTTATTATGTACGTAATGTGTTTTTCTTCTTCAAATTATTAACTGCGAGGAATTATTGCCTTTTTAAAAGTAACAATATCGGTTATCCTCTGTCAGATTATGAATCCTCTTGATGTAACTGCTGGACCAAGTCGCAATTAATTATTTTTACTGTTCATTTTTAAAAAGAAGGAAATTGTTTTTAAAGGAATTATCCTCACAAAGGTTTTGATTTAGAGGAAAAAATAAACTTTACTACTTGGGATATACATGGAATTTGTTACAATATCCCAATGGGGATTTTCTCTTTTTTTACAGTGGACGAAGCCGTAGAGATTGCACACAATGCTATTTTTGCAAATCATGGTCAGAATTGCTGTGCTGGCTCAAGGACCTTTGTCCAAGAAAATATTTATGATGAGTTTGTGAAGAAAGCTGCGGCCAAAGCCACCAGTCGGAAAGTTGGAGATCCTTTTGAACAGGGCATTCAGCAAGGGCCTCAGGTAGGTTGGTCAATACTGAAGTTTTTAATCATTATTCTTTCGAAAATTCCTTAGGCCCCTCCTACTGTTGCCATTGGATTTTTTTCCATTTATTTTAATTCTGGATCCATTTCTTTGTTGATTTGTTATATGTTTAGTCTGCAAGATTGAGAGTTTGCCTTTCTGTATCCTCTTTCTAGCGCTTTACAAGTACTAAGCGCTTAATCAAAGATCCAAGATTAAAAAGAATGAAATGTATCAGGGAGTGGGGAGAAAATCAATATGTATTATCACTGTAGTCGGAAGTGGATAATTTCATTGAAATATATTAGAAAATCTTATATTGCAAAGAGGAAAACCTTCACGGTAAGAGTCAGAAGACAATAAGAAAGGATTTTTCAATTTTATGTGGTTTAGAATCATGAGGCAAGCTTTATGCAAGATTCTTATACAATTATTACGTACTTGAGTTTTTTCTTCCGCTTGCAAAGACTGGGTTATGAGTTACTGGCCAGGGTGAGTTATCCATTGGAGCTCAAGATACTCGCGCCAGAAAACTTATGTTAAATACTTACCTGCCCTATGCAGGAAGAAATAGTCCTAGGAGAAATATTCTATGATTAGAAGCTGGAGACTTCAACATTAAGATTTTAAAATTTGAACAGACATCTTTTTTTTTTTGATGCTACAGGGAATTTAAGTGGTTCCAGTCACTTGACTCAATACATTATAGACTTGTATCTGAACTGTATATGCTTGATCAAAGCCCCTTCACTAGAACATCCAAAAAATCGATCAATGCCAACCTTAAGCTCCTCACAGTAAAGGCCAAGGCCCACGACAGGTTATAGGTTCGTCAGATCAATACCTTTCGTGAATTCAATTAATCAGTCTATGTATGACAGTACTCAAATTTTTTCACTCCCAAATGGTTTCTCATGTGACAAAAAGTTTACTTGTGAGCTTTGCTATTAAACTTTCAGATTGACCATGAGATGTTCAATAAGGTGCTCAACATGATTGAATCCGGGAAACGAGAGGGAGCAAAACTGGAAGCTGGAGGTGGTGTCCATGGAAATGAAGGCTATTTCGTCCAGCCCACCGTCTTTTCCAATGTGACCGACACCATGAGGATAGCCAGAGAGGAGGTATGAAGCTGTTCGTTGTGCTTTGTACTGATTGAAGCACAATTCGTACGTAGACAACACACATAGACGCCCATAATGTGATTGTGATTATGATTATTCTCGACTTGAAGGGTTCGAAACGCTCATTAATTGATTGAACAGAAGTTGATTAAAATTTTAATAAAATGCTTTCAGCATTATCTGATTGGTCTATCAGGATAGAATGAAAAGAAAGAAAGAAATTAAGGTATCAAGTAAGAAATTCAAGAATTTAAAAATGTATTACTTGCTAGAACTGTAGGTACCAACATTTTTTTCCCCTTAGCTATTTCAAGGATTATTTCATTTCATTCAGACTAATTTTTGGAGGTATTTAAAGTTTGAAGACATGACACTGTGTTGGAAAGTGTCACTCTATTTAATTTCAAACCTAGCACCATGCATCATTGTCCAGGACCTTTACTTTTTCACCCATTTTGTCAATTTTTGTCTTTGCATGTAGATTTTTGGACCTGTGCAGTCTATCTTCAAATTCAAAACCATGGAAGAAGTAATCGAGCGTGCTAACCGGACCAACTATGGCTTGGCATCTGGTGTTCTCACTAAAGATATCAATAAAGCAATGAAGTTTGCCCAGTCAATTCAGTCCGGCTCAGTTTGGTAATTTGCACTTCAGCCTCTAAGAATTATTTCTTGAAAGTCTTTGCCTACCAAAGCTTTTAAAATCAAGTAAACAGTGATAGGTGAACTTTGTAATGAAGTCAACTTTGTATTGGAGTCAATAATTTTTGACCCGGGATGATAAAAACAAGTTCAGCTTTTAAAAGATTTTCAGAAATTCTCTAATTTGCGTCTACAGCCAAAATGATGTAAGAGTATTGGTCATTGGTATTTCTTAGAAGTACTCCATACCTCTCTCATATACATAATTGAGGCTGGCTACTTTAATGTGCTTGCCTCACCTAGGGGTATAGCTGAAGAGATTTTTGCATGATTCACAATTATTTCCAGTAAAAAATGTAATTTTCTGTGGTTTATCTGAATTCTATACATTTTAGTAGATCTTTTCATTAGAAATGTTTAGGAACTTTTGATGATGAATGTAATGAAATATATGTGCAAATCTCTGTTCAGCATCTCTCAAATTGGTTTTCCATGAAATGCATAAATATGGACATAGATATGGACATGAAGGAAAGATAAAGGCAGCGAACATTAATAATATTCTTTTGTGTTGACAGGATTAATTGCTACGATGCCGTCGTCCCTCAAGCTCCATTTGGTGGTTTCAAACTCTCTGGTCAAGGAAGAGAACTGTAAGTTTATTTTTGGTTTAATTTGAAATCAACTACTCGTTAGATTGTCTCTCAGTTTCACCTTCTGTTGTAATGCACATTTCAGTCAACCTCTGAAATTGTTGTACTACACATATCTATATTGGTGGAGAAATTGTGCTGGGTCCACACCATTTTGCCAGGAAATCAAAGCCAAGAAGTTCCAAGATGTTTTTTGGAACTTCTTGGCTCATTCATACCTACATTAGTACCTACATGATTGTCACAACCATCTAATCTTTGAGGTAAAGAAAAGATTGATGGTGAAATACGTCTTTAAAGTTCCCTTATATGGTTAGTCTCTCATATAACATTCAGAATACATGCCCATAGATGAATTCATGTAAAAGATTGTACAGCTAATTAGCTTAAATTATTTCAAGACACATCCTTTCTCAAAGAATGCCAATTCGACAGTAGAACTTCAAAACCACGCATCTCGGTTTGCAACATTTCAGACTTCCTGTCAAACTTTATTTTTTAAATTGAAAACAATGCAACGCCAATTGTTTAAAACTTTCATGATTTTTCCTCTCTGTGTGGAGATAGCTCCATGAAAATTTTAAGGAATCTTGTTGATTTGAAGAAAATAAAATGAGAGGGGAGATTTTAAAACCCCACAAATGAGATACATGATTTGAGAGTTTCACTGTCTAATGGTGAAATGGCTTGGCTGGCTTATCTTTGGCTTGGCTGCTGGTAGTCATTGTCGAATATTTATTTACCTGTGATTAACTTTTTGGTTTTTCAGAGGAGAGGATGGCATTGATGCCTACGTTGAAATCAAAACTGTAACAATGAAGGTGCCATCATGAAGAACTCGCAGTTTACTACCATGAAGTATCACTTTCTACCGGAACATTCCTTTAAAAATACTAAAAAATATTGGAAAAATGGTTTTCCTATTACTCTTAATTAGGGCTCAATTTAGAGAGGGATTAAGAAGGTTGCATTCCCAGCGGCAAACAACAGCAACAAGATAGCACATTTTGGAAAAGATTATCTTTTTATAAAATTTTGTGCTCTTTAGCTTTTTTACATATGATGAAAAAAAGAAGCTATTACTTACTTTCAAACTTTTCGGTCAGAAAATTAATGATAGACCAAAGTAGAAAAATCGAAAATCCAGCCCGGGTCTTTTGATCATAGTGGTGTGCTGCAAATTCCGGAAATGTGCTTGCCAGTATTCCCTCTAAAACCATTAAAAGTGACTTGAAAATTTCGTCTAGAAAACGCTTTTTTTCTGTGATACATGACTCCTGAAAATTTGTGAATTGTGATACGATTCCCTGTGAATGGAATAATCTTCCAGCAGTTTCCTCTCCAAGTATATTTACAGTTTGGAGGGGGGCAAGTTTTTCTTAAAAAAATTTCTCCCTTACATTGTTTTTTTTTTCTTTATAATTTTGAAGAAGTTCAGATAGATGCATAGGGTGAAATTTAATCAATTACCATGAGTTACCTTCATTATAAAAAAACCAATAAATATTATAGTCTCAGTAACAATATTCTTTTTTCTATTAATATTCGTGTAATACTCAAAATTATCAAAATGTAACCAAAGAATTTTGTGTCAAAATTGAAATTGTAAAAAGTAATTGTTGAATATTGATCCAACGCTCAAATATGTTTATCATAAGACTTCTAGAATATTATTTGTTTATTTTTTGCAGACGATCTTTCCTTTGTATTTATTTATTAATTCTTCCCGATTACCCTGTAGGACAAAGTAATATAGGATTAGTGCTCTTTTGTAATGCAAGATTGTATTCAATTACAAGGAAAAAATTTGATTGCTGATTTAACAATTCAATTGTTAAAAAGTATGTCTGACATGTTTCAAATTTACATTTTACAATAGTGAAAAGCTTAATTTAATCACTCCTGCGGTTAAATTAGCATTTTTTATTGTTAAATCTACATTGAAACATGTCGGACACTCTTTGTAACTACAAAATTGTTAAATCTAATCAGCAATATAATTTTTTTCCATGTAGATTTGCATTTATCAGGGAAAATAATACTTGTACAGGATCGTTACACCCGAGGATTTATTGTAACACTTGAGGGAGAACAGGAGAAAGAAACAAGAGTTTAACAGTCGAAACAGGTGATTGTATTTATTACACTCCTCGGTTTGTACATTGGTAACACTTACCTCTCAAATTATTCTACCTAATATTTACAAATTAATCTATCATTCTGAGAAGAATGACTTAAGCTCATATTAAAATAAAACTATGAATGTAATTGTAATTGAGTACAGCAGTTATTTGGCCAAAGCTGTACTTATTTGAATTTCCTACTAATTCAAGGCATTTCAGTTTTAAGTTATTCTGTACGTCCAACGTACCTCTTTCCATATGTAGGCATGACTAGATCGTGGTCAATAACTGTTGAGGACATCAGTTATAAGCTATTTTTTCCTCAATCAAAGAACTGATGGCACATAGTAAAATCTTACCGAATACTACAAGTGTGAAGAGTTGAGAGTGAAGGATGTATTAAGAGCAAGTTTTCTCTTGGGTGCTAGTCAGTACAGTGCAAAATTATCATTCATTTGGCATCATAATCACAGAGAAAACAACATTCAGAATATAGGCGTTGAAACAAGAGGAGGGTGGATTCTGATTTAGATGTATCTTATGCTTTTCCTTGAGTGGGGCTAGACTTTTCCCAACTTTCTCTGACTGTCTGTGTGCTATTGCTTCCTCTGGGCCCTTGCGGCAGGAAATTCCCAACTTCATCTGTGGGTGTAAATTATATTTTTTTGAATCTTTGAAGTGACATTGGACACCTTCATGCGAGAAAATACCATCTATAGTGGAAGCTCTTTGCAAAATTGGCTTCTCTTATTTACCCGCATGCTTCCAGTTACATGTAGCATGTATAGTGCTTTCTCATATAAGCTCATGTTTCATGCAGTATATTAATCAGGCACTGTCCTTGCTAAGAAACAATTAGATTTTTCTTTCTTTTATTGTTTGATTAAATGAGAAGATTACAAATTTTCCGGTAGAATTATAAGTATTCAATGAAAACCACTAGAAAAGAAAAAGCAATTAAAAAATTTCTTTTCTTTTGTGCATTCTGAAACATCTTTGACCATCACAAACTAGGATGATTCCAACAAGGTCGCGATTTTTTGCTCGTTTTTGCCAGTACTGGTACTGGCAAAAACGAGTACTGAATACTAGTCCCATAAATTAAAGGTAATAGTGCTAACAGTGGGATTCCATAATTTGGCAACTTTGCTACTTACGGGAGCTATTAAAATTAATAGGATACGATTTTTATTTTTTTCCAAGTAAATTGAATGAGAAGATTCAGAAGAAGCCAATACTTAAAGTCCGACAAAGGAAGCCCCGCATGAGTAATTTCCATTTCATTAATACATTCATTAATTATTATAATTAACCCATTTTTTTCTCAATTTGGTCAAAATACTCAAACCGCCCTTTACTTGGTGCAACAACGACTTATAAATGCATCGAGTGGCGGAATCATGAGCGGAAAAAATTGAAGGTGCTTTTCGGTTTTTTCAATGACTAGGTCTGGATGCAATTATTCGTGTCCTGGGGATGTCCGTGTTGCATACCGAGAAATTGCAGGCGCTCTGACATTCTGAAGCACAGCGTATGGCTGCGATTATTGGCTCTCAATGGTTTTCTACATTGCATGTATAATTAAGTTTACCATGAAATTCTAGGTCGAGTGCGACTGAGCCGTGTTGCATTACGGCAGCGTTGCCAAATGATCCAAATTTTCCACCAAAAATATTTACGCTAAGGCATTGGGAATATCAATCCCGCATATTACTACTGATAAGGGTGTTTCACGATAACTGGAATAGTTTTGTCGCCGTGACAGACAACACATTTTTCGGTCAGACTTTTAGTGATGATAATCACTCGAATTTTCTTGCATTAATCTACACAGGGTTAAGTACGAGTTCTATCGCTTTTCAAAGATTTATCGCTCTACTTTTCAATTTTAATATATAAATGGCCGAAAATGTACTGTCTGTTACGCTGACTCTTTACCGCGTGCAGACAGCACATTTTCGGCATTTACATATTATTAATTAAGAAGTAGAGCTAAATCATTAGAAAACGTTATAATACGTAACCCTTTGAAGATTGATGCGAAGAAATTCGATTGATTATCATTACTAGTAAAAATATGACCTAAAAATGTGTTGTGTGTTACGGCGACAAAACTATTCCAGTTATCGTGAAACCACCCATCCGCGATCTGCACCATTTTGCAACGCTTTCTGTCGTGCGCATTCGAACTCCAAGGATTTCATGGTGAACACGAAGATGTATGCACGTAGAAAATCCACCTTGAGAACCATCAATCGCAACCATACGTTGTTCATAAGAAAACCAGAGCGCCTGCAATTTTTGAGTATGCAACACGGACATCCCAAGAACACGAATAGTTGCTTCCAGACCTGGCCATTGAAAAAGCCGAAGCGCCTTCAAATTTTTCGGCTTGTGAAAACGAAATTTGTCACTCATAGCATGCATACATCGTCGTTGCCCCAAGAAAGGACGGTTTGTGTATTTAATCAAATTGAAAAAAAGAAATAGGTAAATTAATAATAAATACACAAATAAAATGGAGAGTACCTATTCATGCGGCAATTAATTACTCTCCTGACTTTACAGGCAATCACACATCACTTTCATCTGAATATTCTCATTTAAAGTATTTGGAAATGTATAAGAATCTTATTCTATTAATCATTACCTAACTATCTCCTGCACATGACAGTGTTGCCAAACAGTGCAATATACGGGACCGTTACAGGCAAAAACGAGTGGAATGAGAACCTATTGTGTGCATATCGCTGTTTGCAGTTTTCTTGGATTCAAAGATTCCCTGAATTTTCAGGTATTTTCAACGTATAAATCTCCGACTTTTTCCTGGCTTTTCGGTGTTTCTCTTGGCATATTATAGTTTCTGATAAAAACCATAGTAATCATAAAAAATTCTGAGCGGGAAGTATTTCGAGGGTGAAAAAAAATGCAATGTTTTGTCTCTGATTTATCTCGTGTTTGGACCCCACTCTCGCACTCGGCGACACAAAGGGATCACCAAGTCAAAAGCGGCCACGTCCAGAAACAATTCATTTTAGAAACCCCACACTAAAAATTCAAGTACCCAATGCAATGCAATATTTTTATCACGAGAATCTTAGGCATTTCCAACTGAAACTTTTACCGAACTTTCGTCTGATCTTGAGAAAAACTTAGACACATTTTGGACAAAAAATGAATAGATACACTCTTGCTAAAAATTGAATTCTTCGAGTCAATCTCGCAGCCTTGGAGTAGAGTTCCGTTCCTTGGCCCGGCAGGTGACGAGATCAGTAGCGTGGCGTGAATTGCGATGTATCGATTATTATGCCATTTAAACCTATGATAAAGAATCGATTATTAAGGTGTTCGCTGCGAACACCCTGTTTATCGATCCTTTTCTATAGGTTTAAATGGCATAACAATCGATACATCGCAATTCACGCCACGCCACTGGACGAGATGTTCGAGTGCTCGGTGGACATCACCTTAATGTCACGCTGCTTTATGAAGACAAATGGTAGAAGCAACTATGCCATCAATAAATGAGAAACTTTCACTATACCGGAAAAAAGGATGTTGATTTAACATTCTGGATGTGAAGAAAGTGTGTGAGGACTTATAAAATGCTAAATTACCCGCCACACCAGTTAGTTTTACATCTTGGCATTGCTAAAGTAAATAGCGGGTAATTCAGCATTTTGTAAGTCCTCGCACACTTTTTTCACATCCAGAATGTTGAATCAACTTCACTTTTTTTCAGTGTAGGGGCGTGGCATAGAGAAAAAAAAGGAGGTGTTTGGATTCCGGGCATCTTGGAATTTTTTTGATGATTTGATGACGTAGGTCGGTACAGCGACGTTTATCCTGTCGATTTTCTTGGAAATGGTGTAATTTAAGAAAACAAGTCATTCTATAAAAAGTGCTTAAAATTATATAATGAGTTGATTTAAGTCAAAAAATCGGACATTATGGTCCGTTTTTCATATTTCGAATTCCGGATTTCGCTGGCCAGGTTGTACTGACCTAAGTCACAGGGTAAACAAACCTCAAGATGCAAACACCTCCTTTTTTTTCTCTATGGGGGCGTGGGGTCTCTAAATGATGAAGTCTCTGACCACGTGGATACTATTTGCCTACACGGTTAAAACCTGGATCCTGTGGGCTGCACGGAGGTCGGACAGCTCGTCGGGCGGAGCTGAGAAGCATCTAGGAAAGCTCTAGCTGGCTGGGCGCTAGCTCGGGAAGCCGGAACCGGCGTCATAGCACGGTTGCGGGGCGAAGGTGACGCGCTGCGCTACGGTATTTACAGGTGATTGGTGCCGGGGGAACCGTCGCTTGTACGGCTCCCACTCGGGTTGTCAATGGGTGACGATGACGTCCGGCGCCGACTTGGAGGACTGGATGCTGAACGGCCGCGGGTCGGCGACGGTGCCGCCGCTGCTCGAGCCGGAAGCCGATTCCGAGCCCGAACCCGTCGCCGAGAGCTTGTCCATCTCGATCACCGCCTCCGCCTTGAATTTCGGCAGCTCTTTCGGCTGCGAGTTCGAACTTGAGCTCGTTGTCCCACACCTGAAATCAAACCACTTTAATTCAAACGAGCAATACTGGGTTTCGCAACGCTCATAAATTATATTACATTTTGCGATTAGGGACTATAATTCCTGACTAATCCGTAATAAAACTTTACTTGCGTAGGGAAATTAATGGCACACACGCTACTTCTACACGGAGAAAAGACTTCGTGCATGGGACCAGAAGTTGAGGTCGTATGGATCGCTGAAGTTTTCGGATCACGGATCCGAAAACTTAAGGTCCGGCTGCCGAAGTTTGTGTCACACATCTGAAGTACTCCCGTACTTAACGAAGTACTTCCTTCGAGTTACGTTCAAAATTTCGATCGCTTTGAGCGGTATCTACTATCATTAACCTCTGAATATTTTTTGACCCCTCTCTCCCACGTCATAAATACATGCCTGACAGGGTTGAAAAATCGGCACTACACGCCAATTTCGATCGGTGTGTTGATAAAAATTGGGGCTTCACACTGGGGAAAAAAACACATTGGATCTAGAGTCCAGACTCTTAAAAACACCGACAAGAAAAAATACTCTCGATTCAATCAGATTTAAGCTCAAATCAAGAATCAAGCCTCTTAATTTGAGCGGATTTCCTTTTGATTTAAGCAAAAACCTGATTGAACCAAGAGTCCTTTTTCTTGTCAATGTTTTCAAGAGTCTGGACTCTAGATCCAAAGTGGTTTTTTTCCAGTGTACGCCTAGTCTCCTGGAAAATCGTGTTTTCCGAGATACGCACCTCTGCACTTTGACCATGGACATGGACATGCTATAGATCTTACCTGGGATTTGTACTGTATCCGAAAGTGGTGAAGTTGTGTCCGGTGGGCGGGTGGTGGTTGGCCCTGGCCTGGGGCTTGATGGGCAGCGTCTGGAAGGCCTCGTGGGGTCGTTTGCCCGGCGACCCGGAGCCGGAGCCCGAGCCGGAGCCGTGCTTCTGATATGACCTCTGCATCGGGGGCAGCGGCGGCGGGGGCGTCGGCGCCGGGAGGTTGTAGCTCTCCTCGGAGGTGTTGTGGAAGAGGCTCTCCCGCGTCTGACACTCGCAGTCCTTCATCTCCGGCGCCAAAGGCGTGTTCCCGTCCCGCAGGTACAGCCCGTCTTCCTCCTCCTCGTCACCCGCGTCGTACTCGTGACTCACCTGCCACAGAAAGAGAGAGAAATAGAAAAAAATCAAGTCTCAAATGGACGTATTTCTATCAAACAGACCTATGTGCAAGTAAGAAATATGGGGTGTGCTCGTTACTTCTCTGGCCGTAAGAGTGAATGAGAATAATAAAGCGCCAGTGACGTCAGCGGCAATGATGGAGCCGGGGTGGGAACCCCGCGGGCCGGGGCGGGGGAGAAAGATGGTCGTCGGGGCGATTTAACTCATGAGCCCTGTGCACAACGCTCTCTTGCCATGCCCGCGGCTCATAAATCCCGCATTTAGTTGGCACATAGGTCTCTTTGATAGAATGTAATATCCCGCTTTTCCAATTTTTCAAAAGGAATCACGCCCACTTTTACATTACTTCTTATGGAGCTTCGACGAGCACACCCCATATTTCTCACCTCCACATAGGTCTGTTTGGTAGAAATACGTCCAAATCGTCGTTTTCCTCACGTAAGAACGTAACTACATTCCAGTGTTGCCAGATTTTTCTGTGGGAATTGTATTTTTACCAGGAGCATCATGAGAATTTCTCACTGAAAAATTCCTTAATTTTTCCTCTTATCTCATGAGAAAATCGGACCTATCGACGAAAATTAGGCAAGTTTATTCTCGCAATAAATTGTATTATTTGAGTCAATTTTGCAACCGAGGAATGGAGTTACGTTTCTTCGTGCGGGAGACGACGAAATGGACCTCGTTTAGCAGGAAAGAACCATGCTACGTTAGCTATTAGCAAATTTAACTGGGCAATTTAATTTTTTACGAGGGAACGTTTGTACGGATTTTTTTTGTGCGGTGCTTTGAGCCTCGAAAATAAGCTACGCGAGGTCTTAGTTGAATTTTTTCATCACGAAAGGCGCTAGTTGCTGCTTTTTTGTGTGTACGTCAGAATTCCTAATCTAAATTCAACTTAAAGTTAGATCTTAAAATTTAACGTATAACTTAAGATACCTCCCTTAATTTTGGACATTTCAGGGTCAAACTTGCACCAAATGTTCAGATTTCCTTTCACTATGCAGTGGTGCTAATAATTCAATTTTTAATTTTTGGAAGAGGCAATCCCTATTCCAGATCGCGTCCCATTTTTTGTACATTTTCATGATTGGATTGCATTTTGCAGAAAGGAACTAAAGTCGTCTTTTTTTATGCCGTCGGTCGCTTACCGATGGCATCACTGTGATTGCGATTGATGGTCACGCCCATTTTTCTTTATCCAATCACAGACCATTTGACGAGTGACGAGAAATCACGAGTCACGATCACGCTCAAAGACATAAAGACGGAGGGCTAAAAGCAAAAAATGAAGCTTCTTTTCAACCACCTCTACTATTGGCTAGAGGATTGGCGGCGAAATCGGGACAAGTTTGAATTCAAATATAGGGCGGGAACTGAATAAAATAATTGCGGAAACAAAGTATTCTAGGTTGATTTTTGCCCAAATTCACTTACCCACTCATATTTCTTTAACTTTAGGTTAGCTTTGGTCCGTCGTCGACCGATTAATTTCATTTGGGAGTGACGGTCATCTAGAACTGTAACGACCTGTTTGAACCTGCAGAACCACCATGAGCAGAAGAAAAACTAACTTTATCTGAGATTACTGCCTATTACTGAGCAAAAGTAGGTGTATTATATTAGGACGCAGACCGAACTTTCTTAATATAATCGTTTTAGGCATTTAAAACACGTTTAGAAGAAGAAATGGGGAAAAATCAAGAGGACAAGTTCAAATCAAATTTCCGTTTGCCGCCATGGATTCCCGCGCTCATTTACACACTCACACAAGCACCCAGCGCCAAACTAGGCTTCACTTTTTCCCCGTGCTTTTAGATACGAGCACTCCGTCTTTATGTCTTTGATCACGCTGCTAAAAAATTGTTGGAGGTTAGGTTTCACTGATGGTGCTCCATAGACACACTCCGGACTGGGGTGACGAGTGATTGCGGCTGATGGCGTCAAAGCGTCACGTGACTGATGGTCTAGCTCAGTTTGACAAACTAAGCTCCGCCCATTTTTGACGGCATCAACGAAACAAAACACGAATGATTGCGCAGTGACGGCGACTGATGGCGACCGATGGCTTAAAAAAAGACGACTTAAGAGTATTCAAATATCGCTGAGATTTTGCAACTTTTTTTACCTTGCAAACATAAACTGATAATCTGATTGAGTTTCATCTTGGCTCCCGATAAACCATTAATTCAAGACAAAATTATCTTGGTAATTGTAATTTTTTGCACGATTTCAGTACTTTTTTGCGAAGAATGTAAGTTGCACAAACTTAGCAACATTGGAATGTTCTTGGTTCCTTCTTGCAGAGATGCAATCCAATTAACTCGTTGAAGGCGAGTCATATGTGGAGACTTGGATTGCATTTTGCAAAAAGGAACCAATAGCATTGCAATGTTGCTAAGATTGAGCACCTTCTTTTGTCTTGGAAGAAAAACCTGATTATCTATTAATAGTCTCTATTTTACTCGCTAAAAACTGTAAATTTAGGCAAAAATTACCCTGTGATTTTCATATTTTTTCATGGTTTCAGTAATATCATTGCAAAGGATGAAAATTCACAATCTTAGCATCATTGCGATTCTTCTGGTTCCTTTTTGCAAAATGAAATCCACTTACCCTTTGCCGCTCATGCCTGAGGAACATGAGGTTGACATCGCCGGGGTCGTGCTTCTGGCAGACGCCGATGGGGTGTCCCGGTCCGGGGGTGGGCGTGGCGGGGACGAAGCAGTCCCTGGCGGGGTCGCGGGCCTTGTGGTCGTTGAGGCCGTGGCCGTGGCTGTGCCCGAGGCCCGGGAGCTGGAGCTGCCGCACCGGCGACGCCGAACGCGAGCGCGAGGACTCGAGGCTCACCGAGCTCTTGCTCATCTTCGGCACGATCGTCGCCACCGGCGTGATCATCATCGACCCCGCCGGCGTCTTCCGCCCCAGCTGGTCCAGCCGCCCCTCCCGCGATTGCTTCGTGTGTTCCTAAAACATACAGTCATTTTTATTCATTCATTTAAGTGGGGAAAAAAAAAAGACGGTGAACATTGTAATGCAATGTCTGAAGGTAGTAGCACTGAATGTATTGGAATTTGGTGTGTAGCCGAGTGCTAGAAATAATGATAGCAAATAATGATAGAATAATAGCTCGTTATCAATTGTTACCATCAATGAAATCTGTTACCTTGTTTGAAATTTAAAGTACGGCCTTTGTGACATCAATTTTGTGACCCTGACGATGAAGCGTTTGCTTCGAAAAGCTTCGGTCTAAGTTTGTTAATAAAATGTAAGTTTTTTAAAGAAATTTTACATTATTTCTAGCACTCGGCTACACACCGAATTCCAATTCCATTTAAGTGACCACGTGGTAAAATGGACCCCATTAAAGACACGGAAACACCGTCATATTTACAAAACACGTATTATATTTTCCTTTAATACATATTTTTTTTCATCGATTTAAATGAGAATAATTCATGTAGAATGTGCCAACATTTCAGAATCATGAGTTGAAAAACGCTGACTCCGCGAGTTTAAATATTAGAGCCTGACACAGAGCGGAGCGCCGTGTTAGCAGCGCGACATGCGGACTGGCGCCTACAAACCTAACAGGGATACTTCACGCATTGCGCAATGCGTGAAGTATCCCTGTTAGGTTTGTAGGCGCCATCCGCGTTCCGCGCTGACCGGCCGCCCGCAGCGTGACACGCGTGGCGCTTCCAGCAACTATTTCACCACAGAGGTGTTGCACAGTATCATACGAAATTGAAGGCGCTCCAACACATTAAGAATGACAGGCATCCTTTAAGAGTACAGAGCTTTTCTCGCAAAATAAATCAAGGTACTGCGGCACAAAAAGAGAGCGGTGGTCCAAAAACTCACTGAGTCCTAGCATCCGTATTTTTTAACGTGTAGTATAATTTTTAAATTTCATTGGAGAAAAGAGTGACTCGATTCAGGCAGAAACATTCTTGAGTATACCGTCAAGAAGATTTTATTTTGAATCAATAATAAAATAGCTGAATGAAAGCGGGTAAGCTTGATGTAAGTGACTTTTCTTTTTGTAAAAGCGTCTTTTCTTCTTTAAACAAGAATTATTTCCTTTATTTATTCATAAGGAAATCTTCTCGGCAGTTTTGAGCATATTTCTGATTGAAACAAGTCATTTTTTCTTTTAATGAAGTTCAAGAATCATTCTAAACGTTATTGAATACAGATACTAGGACTTTGAATATCGCTCTCTTTTCATCGTCGTCACTCGATTTAATTTGCGAGGAAACTTCGTGATTTCGAAAGATGCCGTCAATCATGATACGTTGGGGTGCCTTCAATCTCGGATGATACTGTGCACCAATTCCGTGGCAAAATAGTAGCTCGATGCATTGTTGCAAATGCATTTATTCCAGTATAAATTTTAGCGCTGAGTCCAAAAATGACCTCCGTTATGCTAGGTCAGGTCGATTTTCCCCGGAAAAATCAGGATTTTCTTTAAAATCGAGCTCTCCCGGAGAAAAATCAATTTCCCGGAAAATCTGTGCATGGTGGAGAAAAACTAAGGTCATTTTCGGATTCAGCAGCTAAAATTACATGGGCAACCATGTTTTGCATGGCTATTAAAGTTTTCATTTTGATCCTAATATCGAGGTTATTCTGGACAAGTGCTACTTTCCGCCCATGGAACGCATGTAATACTAAAATCCGATTGTTTTGCGTCAGAAAGGAGGGAAAATATTTTTTCTCAGGCAACAAGTGAAGATAACCCCACTAACTTATTGCCGCTGCAGCCGAAAATCCTTCCAGAAGTGCGCGTCAGCTAGAATTGTATTTAGCAAATGGGAAATTTTTATTCGAGGATTATGAATAAACAAGAGGTACGGAATAAAACAAAAGAATATGAACTATCCAAAACGATAATCCGGGTATGGAACTTGGCTGTTTCGAAAACGCCTTCAAATGCGGCGTGATACCTCACGCATTCTGGAGAGTTCAAATAGTTGTATCATTGCGCCTTAGAAATACGACGGAATATTACAATTGAAATAGCCTTCATGCACGCTGGCCTTTTCGATTTCCGTTAACACATTTGCAGTCATGAATTCATAGCTGAGCGCGCTTCAGCTAGAATTGTACATAGCAAATGGGTAATTTTTATTCGAGGATTATAAATAAACAAGCGGTCAGAAATGAAAACAAAAGAATATTAACTATGCAAAACGATAATCCGGGTATCGGAACTTGGCTGTTTTGAAAACGCCTTCAAATACGGCGTGATACCTCACGCATTCCGGAGAGTTCAAATAGTTGTATCATTGCGCCTTAGAAATGCGAGGGAAGAGTACAACTGAAATAGCCTTCAAGCACGCTGACCTTTTTGATTTCCGTTAACATATTTGCAATCATGAATGCATAGCTGAAGCGCGCTTCACGTAGAATTGTATATAGCAAATGGGTAATTTTTATAGGAGGATTATAAATAAGCAATAGGTCAGAAATGAAAACAAAATAATATGAACTATGCAAAACGATTATCCGGATATCGGAACTGGGCTGTTTTGAAAACGTCTTCAAATGCGGCGTCATACCTCACGCATTCTGGAGAGTTCAAATAGTTGTATTGTCACACTTGGTATAAAGCAAATATTATTTTAAAGGCACCGTTTTGAAAGGATATAAATAAAGCAAATTGGACGCCTTTTAATAAAAACGCCACATTGAAAAAATTTAGCAGGTGGCGAGAAAACTTACCCGTATTATTCGTTGGTCGTGGATTAGCTTCCTCGTAATGTTGAAAATAAATGCAAAACACATACCAGCCAAAATGAGCACAAAAATAATTAAAATAATGATGATATGTTGCGACTGCATGATCTTCCCGAACGCATCCAACTTGTTCTGAAAGCAAATTCAACATCCAACGTAAATATATGAGCAAAAAAATTTTATCCGAAAGGAGAAATTTTCTTTATTGTGTAAAGAATCATAAAATTTACCTCCTTCAAATTTCTTTTTTTAGGTTGTCAATTTCTGTAACCACAGTTTCGCGGAGTGATATTAATTATCTATTTCTGCGTACACTGCCTTCTTCGATGATCAAATCTTGATAAGTAAATTCTAAAACGACGATTTTTCTTGGGGCAACCATAAATTATTGTCGTCACTGAGTGAAAAGAACAAGGATTTGGTCTTTTTTTTAGACTTGAAAGGATCGCCGCTCAGTGTGCATGTACTTTGAAAGAAGAGTGGAACACATATACCACGAGAAGACATTGAATATGCAACAATGCTCCAGTTTACAATGACCCAGATTTTGGAATAGCGCATGCATGCTCACTTCACAGCTTAACTTGACTCAGCATAAATTAAACTTGGAAAGAAAGAGGGTTGACTGATTTTGAAACTAGATTCTTACCTCACAGTCAGCCTCGTCCCACCTAAAGCGGCAGTTGGGCCGGTCATTGCACTTGAGGTCGAGTGAGATACACGTGGCATCCTCGCAATCGTATTCCGTAGCGTCGTCGCCTGCGGAAAATACAAAGAATTCATTCCAATACAAATTACAAAGCGCGACTTTTTATATCTGATCTTATCTTCAAGGAGAGATTTCCTTTCGACTCCTTTCAAAAAGAGTATATCCTCTCGCAAACATTGCTCTTGAGTCAATAAACAAATGGACCGCGTTTAACAGAAAGGAAACAAGCCACATCAGCTATTGCCAAATTTGAATTGGCAATTTAATTTTTTACATGAAAATAGTGGTGCGGATTTTTGTGCCAATTTCAGTGAATTTTCTTCATAGTACGAAGATATTTCCTCAAAATGTTCAAAGGAATCTGCACTAACGTTCTTTCGTAAAAATTTAAATTGCCCAGTTGGCAATAGCTGATGTGGCTTCGTTCTTTTCTGCTAAATGCAGTTCAAATGAAAATACACGTGACAAAGTGAGGGCGCCTTGATCTCAGTAGATATACAATTTAAGCTATTCGAGTGTCGAAATAGCTGTATCATGCAATTTTTCTTTTTGGTTTAGCTTTTGCAGGAGAGTGAGTGATTCGGAGACAGAGCTTACTTTTCACGACAAAAATTTGACACTGATAGCGTTCATTAAGACGATAAATGAGGAATCTTACCAACCATTTAGAATGAGCTGAATTCTCCTCTGAGAAAAATGGCCCATTTTTGTTTAACACTGCTAGCATGGTCTGCTGTATGATATTTTTTTTCAGCATTTTTAAAGTCTCAGCCTAATTAGTTTCAGACGGTCTCCCTTTTTGACTCCCTCTTTCTTATCATATAGGGTGCGGGTGCCGGTGCCCGAAGTTCTTAACATAAGCGTAAAATAATAGAAAAAGATTATCCAGTCCTAACAGATTTACCAACCGTCCGAGTTCAAAGGCCGTAAATTACGGTCCTAGGAACCGAAGCTCCAACTGCTCACAATTACGTGCCCACGGCAACAATGGAACAGATGGCTCCTAAATCCAGAATTTACGGTCTCTGAACCCGGAACAAACAGCGTGACGAAATAACCTGTAAACTTGAAACTCTACGTTCACAGTCAATATCTCCGTGTTTATGGTTGATTTGGTTTACTTCGAGTAACTTTTTTTTAGTCAGATCAACCCAAAGGACTTGGTTGATCGACCGAATTTGCGGTTTAAAGCAACCGAAACCGTAGATTATTCTAAAACATCAGGAGATGAAGAAAGTGTTTTGTTGAATTAATGTACTCATGTTTCTCTTGTTGTCATTCGAAGGTTGCGACTAGCGAGCGGCTAGCACATTCTACTATAACGCCAATGCTATTCAGATTAGATCCTGATCATTGAAATTGATAGACAAAGCGATAGACAAAAAATACAAAAGGGGAATAAAGCGATCCTACTGGCGCAAGCGGGTGGGTGCAATGGACAAAGGAGGAAAGTAATAGAACAACTAACGGCAACACGCGAGAGACCCTATTGTTAGTCCAGAATGTTTCCCTTTAGTCTGCAACAACCACCCGTTTCAACCGATAAGATCACTCCATGTTCTTTATGTCTTCTTTGTCTATCAATTTCAATAATCATTGCGCTATAGCGGCTCGAGTTGATTTTTAACGAGATCGCAAAGTTCCTACCCAAAGATTACCAACCAAAAGATATTAACCGTGCGTTCAGGTCACTTTGTGTTCTACTTTCCATATTAACACGAAAAGCTGCTTAGTTTTCTCACTGTGTAAATGATAGGAGAGAGGATTTTGTGACTTACAGACGCCACCCTTGCCCTTGTCCCGGAAGGCGGTGAAGAGGGCTTCGAAGGTGGAGTTGATGGCTTTGGCCTCGGCGACGAAGCGGACGTGGAGGATGTTGGAGGGCGACTGGACGATCTCGGCGATGGAGCCGCAGAAGTTGTGGAGCCGCGACGGAAGGTCCGTCCGCTCCGGGAACACGTCCACGAAGTTCGAGTCGCAGTCGTTCGGCCGATCCAAGTTGAACTTCATCCAGTTCAGCTGGATCTGTCATGTAAGAGGAAAACCACGGCATAAGAATGGCCACCAGACAAGGTCTAAACTAGAAGAGAGGGCGAGAGACGCAATAGCCCGAATGCAGACAACAATAAAAACACACTAAAATAAAAAATCAAATGGGTATATAAGGCTATAGAGGATAAATAAACAGCCAGGACGTTTCGGGCCAATTACATGCCCATTCTCAACTGGAACAAAAGCTAAAAAATGTAAAAATTAAAACAAAAAAATGAGCATGCAACTGACCAAGGTAGGAATCAGTGCAGACTCTCTGAGCAGTTTGCACCTCGGTCAGTTGCATGCTCATTTTCTTGTTTTAATTTTTACATTTTTTAGCTTTTGTTCCAGTTGAGAATGGGCATGTAATTGGCCCGAAACGTCCTGGTTGTTTATTTATTCTCTATAGCCTTGTATACCCATTTGTTATTGTATTTTAGTGTGTTTTTATTGCTAGAAGAGAGGGCCACATGCTTTCTGTGCCACAAACTTTAACGCAGAGGATGCTTCTCACGACAAGAAGTTCGAATTTCAGGTCCTGAGCGAGATATTAACAAGTATTTCTAACACAGATCAAATGGAAGTCAGAACATACAAATGGCGTCATTTGTATTTTTGCCTTTGAGCCAATGTTAATTTTAAACACTGATATTTTCTTTTGGAATTGATTTCCAGGATTCCCGTTGTGTGATTCGTTTTTCTCGTGACATTCTGAGGATGAAACATGTTACACAGTGTTTTAATTCTTACCTTGTCTAAAGGCCCATTACGAAAAAAAGAAATAACATACCGCTATGGGCAAAAGAAACGCTCGTAGACACACATTACATTTTCCTTTAGTACAAATCATGTTTTCATCAATTTAAATGAAAATAATCCTTGCAGAGTGTGCAAACAATTCAAAATCGTTAGTTGAAAAACGCTGACTCAGCGAATTTAAATATTAGACCTTAATACAGAGCGGAGCCGCGTGCTGCCAGTGCAACACGCACACTGGCGCCTACAAACCTAACAGGGATACTTCACGCATTGCGCAATGCGTGAAGTATCTCTGTTGGGTTTGTAGGCGCCAATGCGCGAGTCGCGCTGGTCGATCTCGCCCGCCGCGCCGCAGCGTGCCACGACACCTCAAGCAACTTTTTCACAACTGAGGGGTTCCACACTATCATACGAAATTGAAGGCGCTTCAACATATTAAGTATGGAGCTTTCCTCGCAAAATAAATCAAGGTATTATGGCACAAAAAGAGAGAGGTAGTCCAAAAATTTGCAAAGTCCTAGCATCCGCATTTAATAATTTTTAGCATAATTTTGGAATTTTATAAGAGAAAAAAGTGGTTCCCGTTCGAAAATGTTGATATTTTGCGCCCCCCCCCTTGTAAGCGGATTTTCACGTAATTTTACGTAGTTTACGTAATTAGATAGCATGAAACAAAATCCTCTTAATCACATCAACCGTCGTCAAATATCTCTCTTGTTTTATCTTTTTTCAGAGGAAAAGAAGCACCTCGTTTTTAAACTTCTGTGAGCACTCTTTATGCTCGAGGAGAAATTCACAGAAAAAAGTGAAAGGCACGTTTTTTTTTTTTTTTTTTTTTTTTTTTTTTTTTTTTTTTTATTGTAAAATGCAAGCAGAAATTAGACTACGTAATTTACTGAAAAGCTGGTACTGGTTAAATCGCATCCAAACCATCCGATATTTTTTTGATAAGTGTTTAGTATGAAACAGGTAACTGAAGTGATCTTACCCTCCATCCCGTCTGGACTGTGATGACCCAAATGCAGTCTAAAGGCAGATTGTGAGTAGTTGCTAATCTTACATGTTCCGGATCAATGTCCGTCCTATTTACAAACCCTTCTGAGCCGGTTACATTTATGTTACAAGTTTCTAATTCTGGAATATACACAGCTGAAACAAAATACGAAATGTTGTAAATACCTCGAATTTATCTTGCCCCTGACACATTTTCAATGAGTGAAAAATACGACTCAAAATTTTACGAAGCAATTCCCCTGGGTTAATTCTCAACACAGCCTTCAAACACCGCCCCTCTGAAATAGGGGCGTGTCTCAAATTTGACGAGAGCCCTGTTTTACATACGAATCCATGCTCTTTGGGGCTCATTTGGAAATGAGATACGCTCTTACGTCAAAGTACCGATGGTTATGTTTGAACGGATACTTGAAATGGTCGTATTTATGCTAAAAGGAACTATGTGCATAGGGTTTGCGTAAGACATAGTTCCTTTTGGCATATATACGTTCAAATGCACAATACATATCTCACATGCTTTCTCATCATATGCTGTCTAAATTATAATAACTAACTAACTAACTAACTGTCTAAATGACCGAGCAAAGAAGCATGAAACCCAGACCATACAGAGTTTTGAATTAGGAAACAATTTAATAATGCATTTCTTTTCTAAATATTTCTACTCTTTTTTTACTACATTATCATTTGATCAACCGTAGGAATATAATCAAAGTTCATAATTTCTACATTATGGATGCATAAAAATGACCTGATAATAACACCAATCGGACGTATTTATGCTAAAAGGAACTATGTGCATAGGGTTTGCGTGCATCATAGTTCCTTTTTGCAAAAATATATCCGATTGTCAGTCAGTTTGCTTTGGCGCTTTTTCAATTCCTCAAGCCCGTTTACTTCGAGGGCTATAAATTTCGGATCCAATTGTTCCTTCGAGGGTTCCAACACATAAAGAGAGGAGAAGGAGAGGTAGAATAATATATATATTAATCATTAGCAATAGAGAAGGAGAGGTAGAATAATAAATACATAAAGTAATATAGTTATTAATATTTAAGTGCTGACATAAAACAGCACTTAAATATATTAAATCTATAAGTAAAAGAAAGATATTAATCATTAGCAATAGAGAAGGAGAGGTAGAATAATATATATATTAATCATTAGCAATAGAGAAGGAGAGGTAGAATAATATATTCCCTCTTTAGCGAAAGCATGCAAATAGGCTTGAATGAACCATTAAAATAATATTTCTCATCTTATCTCGGTAAAATCGCGGCGGATTTTAAAGTGTCGGTTTGTTAAGTGGATTGGTTTGCCCGCAGTAAAATAGGCAGTGAAAAACGTGCAACGTCGCAATTGAGTTTTTTTACCGCACTACACCGTCGACGATGAAAGAATGTGTAACTGCGCACGCGCTAAAGTGTGATTTCAGCGGAAATCATGATCTTGTACCGTCAAGTCGAAGCGATACTGTTGTAGGCGCTCTGAGCAACTATTCCACCATGAAGGTATTGCACAGTATCAGTCGAAAATGAAGGCGCACTACATGCCGTGCGTTAACCGACTGGTTGACTGGTAGCGTTTATCACTGTGTAGAGCCCTGCTAATCTTATGGTATTCGACTACCGGTCGATCGATTTTTGTGAAATTCGGTACTAGGTGGCATTTTTTGACAAGAAACGTAAATTTCAAGTCAAATTTTCAAAATTCGGAAATCCAAGTTGGTGAATGTGACCTATAATGCTATCTCGGCTCCTGTTCGATCGATGCTTGTGGAATTTGGTGCCGACATTTTACGATAGTGGAAACGAGGGTGGTTAAATTTGTTATCGTAAAATTTACATTGAAACATTGAAGTGACTTTTTTTTAACTACAAAATCGTTAAATCAGCAATGTAACGACCGTTTGACGTATTGAAAAAGAAAGAAGAGAAAAAGAAGATGAAGAAAAAACATGTGTGACCGTGACTCTCCCTACCGACTTACACATATTTCAACATCCCCTCTGATATTTCAGTCAGGAAACGTCACTAAGTATTCTGCGAATTAAACTCAACGAAAAGGCTCGGCGACATTGCTGAGAAATTTAAAACAAAAAGAGGGAAAGGTCTGATGTAGTAAAAATATGAGCGACGGGAAATTGAATAGAGAGCAAAATATTGAAAAGTCTACAAAAAAGGTATTATGAGACAAAACTTAAACTCGGATTAAAAGGTAGGAAGGCTATTTTTCATTTAGAGATTGTAAAAGCGTTGCAGAGCTGAAGCGGTGTAATTACCCACGGCAGTGGGAAACCTGCATCCTCCCTTCCTCGACGACAAATTATTTTGTCAATAAAAAGTTAGCATCTAGCGTCTCACTGATTGCTACGTTGTTACGCGAGGAATAATTAACTTGGCAAAACTTCGCGTCAACTTTACACCTTAGCGCGGTGAGGCAGCTCCTCCCCCCCCCCCCCCCCCCNAGCTGCGGAATCTCTTTCGGATTTCATAAGAGCCGGGGAAATTAACTTTTGTTGGAAACTTTAATGATGACAAGAGGATAAAACTCGTTTCTATCCTATACGCATTCGCTGGGTCGCCTTAATAATTTGGAGTAGGTCTACCGCAGGTGGGAACGTCTTTAATAATTGAGGAATATACGTAATAATTACACTCGGGGAAAGGCGAAAGGCCACACATAATAGCACGCGTCGTTTCCAAATTTCGCGAAACTTCTTCGAGGAAAATTAACGGGAGGCATCGGAGCGCCTTGACCCAGACCCTGTGAGGCTCTTTTTTTCTGTGGGCCAAAACTTAGAGAATATTACATGTAATCAGAGCGAACCTGAGTTGCGCTGGTCACAAGATCGAGTTTCGATGATAATGATATTCATAACTTCTCTCTCAAAAAATAAAATGGGAGCTGAGATTTTTAAACACCGGAAACAAGAGGAGAAGAGATGGGCACAAAGCTGGCTCTCTGCTCCTGAGGATGATTGACGATTTTATTATGTTTTTATCGATTTGACGAGTCCTTTATTTTAAAAGATTTTTAGATTTTCAGATTTTTAATACTTATATATAGTTTCTTGTGTTCGTTACTTGATGGCCTGACAAACAGGGCTATGCCCTAGTCTATAGAAGCAGAAGCAGAAGAAGAAGAAGAAGAAGAAGAAGAAGAAGGAAACAAGATACGTAGTTTGGGAGTTTCACCGTCTCACAGTGGAGCGAGTTTTTGGAAGAGGTCGGACACTTTTGACAAAAATTGTAGAATTTTACGTTTTTCTCGTCACAATTTTAATTATAAGAGGTGATTTTTATGAGAGCTTTTACGAGAAAACCGATGAAACTACTTTTAAAACGTCAAAATTTCATATTCATGAAAATATACGCTTTTAAAGTTTTTAAATCATGTCCGGGCTTTGCCCATGACTCGATCGATTGTGCGTGGATATGAATCAGTGAAAGGGTTGGTTACCGGAGGTGGGTTTCTGGATGAAGCTGTAGACGGCGCGGAAGCCGGAGTATTCGATGTTCTCGTCCGAGTGGAATCGGAGCCAGAGCCAGCGATTGGAGGAGGTGAGCATCGGCGGGAACTCGTTGCCGCAGTAGGAGCCAATCAGGTCCGAGTACCCGTGAGCGCCGTCCCGCACCTCCAGGTAGTCGAACTTGCACTCCTCCGACGGCTCCAGGTGGAACTCGTCCCGGAAGTCCAGCCGGATCAGGTAGCCCGGCTCAGCTGCAACACAAAAAAAACACATCAAATACACAGCATCAAGTAATCTCATATTGAATACTTTGGATAAGAACTTTAAGGCCTTGTCTCCACGGGCCGTTTCACGGGATTTGTCCCAGGGAAAAATCCCACTTACGAAGTTGGGAAAAATATTGAGTTAATCAATATTTTTCCCGGTACCAAGTATGGTCCTTTACCCCTAGGACTCACTGAGAGAGGAAGAAGAAGTGAAAACGAATTGTGCGATATTTTATTCATTACTCCATTGTTAATGTTTTTTTAGTTAAAATAATGTGTCTAATTGTCAATTGAGTGCAATTATTATTGTAATCCCGGTTAAATAATCGACTTTAACTAATATATCTTCCCGCGCAAACTAGTCGCAGGACCGTATGAGCCCTGTCCCGTGGAGACGGTAACTGCGAAAAATCCCAGAAGTTTCATTCCTGCGATTCGAACTTGGGACAAATCCTATGGGAGCGTTCATAACTCTGTAGGAGGATAGAAGGGGTACAAGCCTGGGTAACGCCGCGTTACAATGAAGGGAAGAGGGGAGGGGGTCAGTGCCAGCGGTACATTTCGCTGTCTACTGTCTTAAAAAACATACAAAATCCATAATGCATCATCCTCATTTTTTCGACGTTACTTATCACGCTGGCATTGAAAATACACTTTAAAGCTTTAAAGTTGACAGTTTCCCCACAATTTTTGGGGTCTCAAGGGGGAGTCCGTCAGATGTTACGCGATTATTGAGGAGGGGTCTGAAGTTGCGTTGAGAAGCGTTACAAGCGTGAAGGAGGAGTCAAAAATGCCGGAACAGTGAATTTCGAAATTCATGAACGCTTCCTTACATAACTCGGTGGTGCGTTGCTGTTGCTTCATTAGGGTTGCAGGTCATAGGGATGCTGAAGCTATCTCAAATTATCCGAGATTAGGGATTAAAGTTTCCCAAAAAAGTCAAAAGCTGGGAATGGGAACAGGGATTCCTGGAAAAGTTCCTGGTGAATCTGCGGAAGCTGTGAGTGGTGGATCAGTTGCGCTGGTCACTGAGTCGTGTTTCGAAGGCTTAAGCTTATAGATTAGCAAAAATAATAATCCCTGTTCGAACGTCAAGTTTCTACGTCCAATCTCGACGGTGATCACACCCACCGAAAAACACGGCGTATGACGTCTTCCACCGCGGTTGAGCATTCAATGGTTTCTTTCACCCTGGTTTCATCAATCAGCTAGAAACATTTGCACTGGTTGCTCAACGTGAGGCACGGACAAAACCAGGATGCGTGCACTACAGCGGCAGATGACGTCATACACCGCGATCCTTGATGAGCAATCTTTCCGCTGTCATCAGAAGCAGAAACTTGGCGTTTGACAGATTTTATTATTTTTTGCCAACCATCAAAACCCGATTCAATGACCAGCGCAACTGACCCATTGATTTCCGATACCCCTCGCGTAGAATTTGTATAACGAGACCTGCAGCCTGATTATTGAATTTTTTTGTTTGTCGGATCGACATAGATGACATAGGTTAAATCGCGGAGCGTGATTGGTTGGCTATGTCTTATCGCTGCTTTGTCGTGTCTATGTCAGGTTGACCTCTCGACAAGCTAACGGGACCTCTCGACAAGCTAACGGCACCTCTTAAGTTTCCGACAGTATGTCGATCATTCCACCTGACAAAGGCACGATAAAGCAGCGTTAAGACATAGCCGACCAATCACGCTCCGCCTTTTAACCTATGTCATCTATGTCGATCCGACAAACAAAACATTTCAATGATCAGGCTGCAGCTGCATTTCTCTCTACCACTTCACGATAGACATTATCGGCGAACACCCATGCAACAAGCGTTCTGTCCATCGATTAAACAAGGCAAAAAAATAAAAGCGAGTAGTATTCCCGGCGGTGACGACCCGGCAGTTAAGACGTCATGCCGGAGATGACAAACTCATCGTGCGACGGAATTAATCGGTCGAGCGGAGCGGGCATCGTTCAACGGTGAATCACCGATGGACGGGCCGTTGGAAAAGCCTAAAGCCGTGAAAAACACCAGTAAAGGTTAATAATCGCGACAAACCGTGCGGCGACACTGACTCGGGGGTGGGGGCGCCGGGAGTTATTCCAATAGGAAATAATCGTTTCATCGGAATGCTGCCGCAGGATTCGCCGTGTTTTTATTCCCTTTTTTCTCCGGTCCCGGTTTGTTTTTATTCCCGCTTAACGACCGGTGCGGGGACTAATGAAGCTTGAAAATGAACCGTTTGAATGTTGTGCCGGGCGCGTCGTTAAATTCAACCTTGCGGATGCCCCGCCGACCCTCGCAACCCTCCGCGTTGCTAGACTTGGCGCATCAAGTTACTCTATTCGTTGACAGCCATCGACAATTTTCAAGGATTTTCATGGGATTTTTGTAGATTTCATGAAATTTAGGAGAAATTGGACTGAGTCAAGCAGAAAGGAACCAACCCACATTTTGGAAAAAAATGAGTTATGAGTGGTTTTGAACTCAACCACTGCTCTACTATCCATCGCCAAAAATTCAAAATTTTTGTTGGAGCAAATTTTTCAGAAATTGAACTTTAAGTTTAACTTTTACATTGAGGCTTATGCAGGAGCTGAACTTTAAGTCTCTTTTTCTCGGTTCGATCCCGATGTGGCTTGGTTCCTTTCTGTTTAACTCCGTCCAATTGTAGGTAGCCACTAGCCACAAGAGCCAAATCCGATGGAAATAAATAAAAATCCGATTTGAGGGATGGGGAACCATATTTTCTTTTTCCAAACTTTTTTTAATGCTCTGCTACTACCACAGTGGCAATTTCGCATCGTGTGCATTCGTTTCTATCTACTAGTTGTAAATTTACAAATTTATGAATCATGAAAATAAAAATTAACGTTAGATTATCTGTGTTTAGAGTGATCAGGGCTTAAAACTCAGCAGTTAGTTCAATGAAGTTAAGTTACGAGTACCAGAGCACGAATCTCATTTGCTGTGTTTAAGTATCTCTGCTCCCATTTTATTTTCTTGAGTCAAGATAAATCAATATCATTTCTTAGAATTTTTACAGAGTTTTCTTCGCATAGAAAGGGAAAACACGGAAGTTTTAAAGAATTGACGTTGAGTAGTTTTTTATTTAATAAATAAAGTATGACAGGAAGTCTACAACGTCGCAAACTGACATGCGTCGTCTGGTATTTCCACCGTCGATATATTTCCGTGAAATGGAAACACATTTTAAAATGGTCACTGGAACTCTCGGACATTGCGGTTCCCGAATAAGTATTCATTTTTTGATACGAGATGACAACCTCGTCTGGTTGATTTCAAATTGATAGAAAACCATATACCCATTTGGGAGTCTTTTTTTCTTTTGGATTTTTCCGGCGGATCCATTTATCGGTGGTAAAAAACCGATGGGTTCGATCGTTCTCAAGAAGGTAACACTGAGCGAGCTGAATTTTCCTGATGTAACTTTTGCTGACTCAGAGTATTTTCACACGACAAAAGAATCAAGGATCCAAAAACATTTTCGGCTCTCTGTAGCTACCAGACTAGAAGACCCCAAGGCACCCCATGTTTACTGACTAAACACTTCTGGTGAGAGCGAAAACATGAAAGGTTCCGTTTAACATGGATCCTTGTCACGAAGTAAATAGTAAAGCCTTTCTAAGAGATTCATTTAAACCTATTCCTTCCTTATCTGCACAACAGGAAAGCTGAAATTTTAAAGTTGGAATGAGGCTTTCAAGCGGAAAATGATAGCAATTTTTTATCCACGCCGGAATAAGAAATTATTCCGATCTAATCACCGACGTTCGAGACTCATTCTCAATCATACTGTCCTTCAGGCACAAGGAGAATATACCTTTTAAAAAAAAATAAAAAAAATTATAAAATTATGTGATACTTGTGACAGAACAAATTTCAGATTTTTGCATGCCAGCCGGTACTCGACTTTTAAATATTTAAGTTTTTGACTAAAAAGCCAGCAAAAAAGCATTTACGACACATAATATCGACGCTGAAAGTATCAGACCACGTATTTGGATTTGCGACGTTGCAGACTTCCTGTCAAACTTAATTTTTTTAATGGAAAACTACTCAACGTCAATTCTTGAAAACTTCCTTGATTGTTTTTAAAGGAATGATATTGATTCGTTCTCCTTCAAAGAAAAATAAAATGGAAGTGGGGATTATTTAATACCGCAATCGAGATACGTGGTCTGGTAGTTTCACCGTCAATATGCCTTTTGTTGCGGGAACCATCAATTAATTAAATTATTGAGTAATTAATTTAATTATTATTAATTAAATAAGACTTGATTTCCAGCTCTCTGGTAATTCAAAATCACTGACTTGGGCTCACCCCATATCTAGGCATAATTATTTAATAGGATAATCATTAATAGAACTAGGCATAATCATTTTCGCCATGTTAAATTAGGTATCTACTTGAATATTTTGAAACGAAAGGCAAACATTTTTCATTCTGAGACATTTTATGCCAAACTAAAAGTACTTCATTTCAGCTCACCATACCGAATATTCAATTAAAGGACACCATAAAGATTTTACCTCCCTCCGACTTTTTAGTCAGTGCGACTTTATTACGTAAAGTAATCGAGTTGAGATTGAAGGCAAGTATACAACATGTAATTTTCTCATTTAGTTCCTCCGGGAACTCAGCTAGTTTTAATACCTTTTATGGTAATTGAAATTATTAGAAGGTTAATTCTTTCTTGATATTTAAGAATTCGGTTGGTATCTGATATAATTTTTGGCCATTTACTGATCATTCTTTAGGGAGACTGGTTTCTCCGTACTTGTAATCCAGTTATGTTTATTAGAACAGTGCTTCTTTTTAGAACAAAGATGACTACAACGAACTGGGTAGAATTGGTCCAAGAAAAATAACAATTATTGAGCTCACTTTTTGACTGTCCGAGAATAACTTCCTAATTCACAGGAGGTTGCAACTCTCTGCGTTTACCATAATCTTTGAGTC